GAAGATATAGTCTAATAATATGAAGAACAGGGAAATTTGTGATCAATCTCAATGTAGTTTTAACTGAAGACAAGAGGTTGGTTAAGAAGTTGTTCAAATTCCTCAAACAATATAAACTTCCCAAAACCAAGTGTATTGATTTGATTCAACTATAAACTATTTGTCTGTAGTAAATAACTAGATTTCAAGACTTGAATTTGAGATTTCAGGGATATTCTCTTCAAATTTAGGGATTCATAATTAAATACTTGTGATTTACTTTTAGCTTGCTCTTCTCCAGGAGCACATGTGTCCACTCAGTGTTTCCTCAGTAATGTCCAGGCCTGTCCACCAAACCCAAACTCAGAGCAGAGGGGAAGGCTTGGAACCAGATGAGCTTTAAGGTCCCTTCCAACCCAAACCAGTCTGGGATTCCATGGTATTTCCAGGCAAATTCCATTTTCTGCTGACAATGATGGGTTAATTGGAATAAGAAATAGCTGCATTTTTCTGGCTGTTTCAAGGCCATCAGACTATCCGAGCTCCTGGATCAGCTCTGGGCTCCCCATCGTGCAGGATAGCCCAAGCTGATGTCAGTCACTTAAGGCTGTGGTGAGACAACCCACTGTTGATGTCACTGAATGTTCTTGGGTGCATTCCTGCTGCTGCTGGTACAGTACAGAGAGCTAAAACAAAGTCAAGAGGATCTTCTGGTGATAAGACTCAGACACATCTCTGGGTTCACGTGTAACCACCAAAGCAGAGGCCTGACACAGTGGAGCAGCACAGACTCCTTGCCTGGTTTTAACACTTACAGAAATCCCCTGTTAAGTGATCTTCTGCAGCACGGTACTGCTGATGTTGTGAGATAACCCCTGGGTCCCATGAGCAGCCAGGCTCGATCTGGGCTTGGGAGATGTAATAGCTGATAAAAAACGGCACTTCCTTTTCGAGCAGATAAGTGTGTGTGTGTGAGCAGCAGCACTGGAACCTCAGTGCATCGAGGCGAGGGCTTTTCATCCCCTTCAGCCTTTTACCCCCTCCTTTCACACACCTAAACGCAGCAGCAGTCAGCATCCAGAAACCACGAATGTGGCTTTTTAGTTCACAACCAGGAAAGCTCACTAACATTCAGAACACCCCCAAAATCAGCAGCCTCAACAGATGAGAGAATTTAGACATAATTAAACTTGACTCTGACTCCCATAAGGAAGAAGGGTGGTCTTTTTCTCTCATTTTTAAACGAAAGATGCTTCATCCATGGCCACCAAAGGCCACAGTGTTGGGGACACATAAAAAGACCAGAGAAATTCAGCGCTTCCTCCCCTCTCTGGCTCAGGGTTTGCCTCTTCTCAGCCCAGACACAGGAAGCACCATGGGAACAGTGTATTTTTATGGTTGCAGGCAAGCGTGCACCATGTGCACCACAGCATGCAGCTTCATTCCCCTGAGGCAAAAAGAGGGGGGTTCTTTCTTTTTGTCCTCCTTGCTCTCCAGCAGGCTTTTAATTACCATATTACTCCAGCCTTCTGCCTAATTGTTTGCCCTGTACTTAGCACTCAGCATGGCTGAAGTCCTTTCAAAAGCAAGACAGGTTGAAGCCTCTACCATTACTGAGTGCCTTTATGAGATTTCTGTAGCCTTTTGAAAGGATCAGGGTACCACTTTCTGCAGCTTAGCATAAAACCCCACCAAACTGGAGCCAGGCAACATCTAGGTATGACCAGGCTCCAACTTCTGCTTAAAGTCTCAGGGGTTGGAACTAGATGATCTTTAAGGTCCCTTCCAACCTAAACCATTCTATGATTCTATAAAGCTCACAGTGTTATTTAGAGCATCAGCATTAATAATGGAAGCTTCACAAAAAGTGTAGAGTCCAAGGAATGGAAGATCACTACTGAATGGCTGGCAAAACATGGAAAAAACACATCATTGTGCTGAAGAAAAACACGTTACAGACATATTAAGGCAGTGGAAACCAGGTTATCAAACGCTTGATCTCTCTCTTAGTGGTCTCACCTTCAGCAGACGGAACAAACCCTGTGGGCACAGCTCATGAAGGGATTTGGGATTAAAGAGTTTGCAGTGTTGCAGGCTGTCATCTGCAATGAACTGCGAGGATGCTGAAGTGGAATTGCTTACTCACAAAGGGGATGGAGCATGGATCCATTTGTGAGAACCACACCAACATCTTTGCAAGACTTCTCTATAAATCTGAGATGTAAGGAGGGTATTAGTGATCACATCTGGAAAAGGGACAAATAGAGCTTTTAGGTTTTTCAAGAGACACTTTCCAGGTACACACAGGACATAATCCATTTCCCAAGAGCAATCACCCATCCTGAGATGTCTATCCTGTGATCCTGGAGAATGCTCCATACTCATTTGTACCAGGGTTAGTGATCCTGAAAGATCACACTCCCACCTGGGCAGCACCACCAGAGCGTGGCTCCACTTACCCAGAAGCACAACAGATAGTTACTGAGCCACAAGCACTGCTCCTGCTCTCCAGTAGGCATGACATGCAAACTAAGATTATTTGGGAATGTTAGCATCCTGGCTTTGTCAGGAATTTACACACAGCTACTGCTGCTCACACAGCCTCCAGGACTTCAGCACATGTAAAGATATCAGAGTTATCGTGCTTCCGGTATCAGAATGACTGTGGAGAGCTGCATGTGAAGCAATGGGGGAAACACTACGTGGATTTTAGTTTGTGCCATTTCACACTAAGATACTGCAGCTTTTCTGTGCATTTCCAACAGCTTTCTCCCAGCAGTTGTGTCTTTATTCCTACAGTGAGAATCAAGGAATTGAGCACCACGGTACTAGGTTCACACTCACTTTATAATGAAGAAATGCTCTCATGGTAAGGGAGGCAATCAGAGGGAAATGAGGTTTAATTGGTATTTACAGTGTTATATGTGAGATGTGAATTCTCCATACTTGCATTCCAGAACAAATTGCAAAGAGAGTGCAAGAGACCAGCAGTGATGTAGAGCAATGTATGAGTGCATGAGAGCAGTGTCAGCATCAACACTCTCCCACAAGTGTCAAAGTTGCACCTGACATATGTGTGTGGAAAAGAGCCTGAGGAAAGGTGCTGAAGGTGACATAGGACAGATAAGGAATGGAAAAAGAGACTTGCTTGATGCCATGATGCTGCGTGTGCGAGCAGAATAGACAGTGCTCCTGGAATGGGGAGGTGGGGAGAAGCTAAAGCGGTTCCTCTTGGATGGTCAATATTCCCAGTTCCTCTTGGAGTGGGTTGTGAAAGAAACCCTTTCCTGGCTTCCTCCATGCACAGTTTAGGGATGGAGGAAGGGGACAGGGAAGGGCAGGGACACTGGGGAAGCAGAGGTGGGAGTGAGTGAATGCAAGTGGGAATGGTATAAGTGATGGACAAGCAGCTGGAACACGGCTGCAAAGATTTTATGTGCTGTGGGATCCAAAAGAGAGATGAGGTGCCTTGGATGTAGAAAAGGATCAAACCTATCCACATCTTGTGGATAAAAACATTAAACTTCTCTTTTTTGGGGGTAAGCAGAGCAGAACTCACCTGCCCAAGCTAGATCCTACATTGCAGACATGTACATTAAGATACTCTCCACTGACTATAAATGGAGCCCTGCTGAGAAGCAGCTGCTCTGGGGACAGGAGGCATTTCACCCTGTCACACAGCCAGATTTGGTGAGGAACCTGTGAGCTCTCACTGCACCAACTGCCAAGCAAGGCCAGGCACCAGTGCAGTTCCCCTAGACACCAGGGTCATAGATACCCAAGGGAGATAACTTCTCCCTCTTGATGGGCTCTTGCTAGTGCAGCACTTCCCTCGAGGGTTTCATGTTTTCTACTTTGTTAATAAATAGAAAAAGTTTCATCTTCAATAATGCAAAAGTTTAACCCTGAACATTTCATGTTAGTCTAAAATAATCCCATTCCCATTGCAGGACACAACCCAAAGCTACTTGCGCATCCAAGACAGAAACAATTCCTTAGTGATACATAAATGCTACCTCAGAACTGACCAAAGCCACAGCCATCATTTGTCCTGACAATGCCACCACAGTGCCATGGCCATGCAGCACATGAACCTGCCTTTTCCCCAGGATACGGACACCACATCCTCCACCAGGCAGCATCTTTCACTGTTTGTGGTTGAGAACTGGCATAAATGAACACACTCAGCTAACTGGCAGGAAGGTTTATTCATGCTGTGATTTCACTCTAGCAGCTTCTACCTCGAGGAAGGGATTGAAAGTCTCTTGCCCTACATCTGTCATCTGCACAGCTCCTGAACCCTGAGGGGCTGCAAGACTGCTATATCCAGGAGCTGCTACTTTTACCTTTTAGCTATTAAACAAAGATGGGCTACTAGTTTTTAAAGCTACACATAAATATACACTTATGTAGGACCTCTTCAATAAGAAATAGTACCTATTGGTTTAACATTTTGTTCATGCCTGTGTCTTCTTTCAGAGCTGTATAGGAAAGGTTTACTGTTCAAATTAAACAACATGGTAAACTGCTAATCATAATCAACCTTCTGCCCCCCCACAGTTTAAAGCACAGGGATACTGCCACGGTTTGACATGTTAAAGAGCTGGGGTGTCCTAGGAATTTCAGGTGATTTATCCTTTCTTTAAGACAAAACTCATGTTATTTTTCAGGTATCAGAGCAGCTTGGCAACATTAATAAAAACTGCATTTGTCATATGCAAATAACTTTTAAGAACTTGTATGCTTCAACACAGCTCACCCTATGGACAAGGTCTTATCTTGCTTCTGTAGAAGTCACCTTTAGGAAACGCATGTGAGGTTCCCTGGTGGGACACAGGTACTCTTTCTTTAGAGCATGTTGAAACACTCTAAAGTAATTGCATTGTACATCCTTTTACAGCCACACAGGAAAACCAGAGCCATGATCCAAAGTAAACTTCCTAATCACTCTCACAGCATGACCAGATGATTCAAAAGACAAAATATAACTATTAGTTATCAGAATTCAGTCTCCACTTTACCTTCTGCTTCTTCATTAGACTGACTGTGTTCCTTCATATCTGCTGCGTTATCCATCCTTTCCATTTCCTGGGATTTGTTCAGATTACAGTCTGTCAAAACCTCCTGTCCTTCTGAAAAACACCCCAACACAACCATTCATTATGCTCCAAGAGCATTTCCAAGTGATTCCCTCAAAGCATCTGCAAATTCCTGGTGCTGCTCATCATGGCCACAGTGTTCTGCTTGCAGAGGCGTTAGGATGGATTTGCTTCTCAAAGTCCTGGACAAACTCTCACATAGGATCACATTATTCTTGCTTCCCTAACCCAAACTTCCAGCTGTCTCCTGAAACATTTCCTTGCCCACTCTACACTCTTTCCCCCCCTGGCTTTCAGTATCATTTTCCAATATTATATTGAATATCCACAGTTTTATTTCAATTCTGCAATTTCCCTTTTGCCTTCAGCACCCATCTTCATCCTGGTGCTATTCAGTGTCCTGGGAATTGAAACTGCAATGCAGACATTTCCCTCCATATAAACTTCAATTTCTTTAAGAGAGAGTGAAAGAACATAACTTGAAGCACTGTACCTGCAGCCAGTGGCTGTTCCTGAGGATTACTTAGGTCCATACCTGCCTCTGAACCTGCAAAAAGACAGAAAAGCCACCGGATTTGTTTAATATTCAGGACCATTTGTGACACAGTTGCTCTAATCCTATAAATTCCCATTTTCTCGATTGAAAGCAAAAGTGGAAAAGGCAAAACTTTCCCAGAAATAAATACCAACTCCTTGTTCTGTTTCATTGGACAACCTTGAGCACTGGCACGTGCCCAGAAAAGGGATTAAATGTTATTTTCTAACTTTGAACTACTGCAGAACAGTTAACTTACCCTTGCAATGTACCATCCTGCAAGTACAGCCCAGTGGTAGTAACTCTGTAGGAAGTGAATTTCTATAAAGCACAAAGGTGGTTTTTACATTCCTTTTCCAACGCAAAGGAAAAACCTATCTTCATGACACCTACTTCCCATGATATCTAATTCCCATTTAGAGATTCCGATAGGGCTTTTGGAAGGAATTTAGAGGGCTGCATGTGTGGTTTCCAAAAGCTCTGAGCACTCAGAAGAACGTCTGAAGATAAAGCTGCAGGTTTTTCCATCTCCCACTGCAGTGCCTGAATTCAGGGTGGTTTGGTGAACTGGAGGCAGCTCTGACCTGTCCAGTGGAGGCTTTACTCAGCACCTTGGTGTCTTGAGATGTCATTGATGTAAGGGTTGATTTTCTTCACGGTGTCACAGCTACCTGCTTCCTTCCTCCCTTCTCTATTTTTTATATACCATAAAATCTTTCCTCATCTTTGACCATATCAAATAGGAGCTCCCAGCCTGGCAGAATTCCTTCCTGACAGTTACATAACTGCAGTGCCCTTACAGTGGCTGTGAGGTGTTAACCACCACTGACATTTACCCAGAACTATCTCTCTTTACCCCCGCTGCCTATGGAACATTTCTGTGGGCTCTGCAACGTCAAAATACAAAGCTCTGTTAACTACAGCAAAGCAGCCTGGCAGCAGAGGAGGCTTCCCAAAAACGTGCACCAGCAGACGAGGGGCTGATGCCTCCAGCAAAATAAAGGCAAACTTCAAGACAACAGAACTCTCCAAAGGGTTTTTGTCCTTGTTTGGTTCATTGTTTCCTAACTGAAAGCACCCAGCTCCCATCTCTCAGTAGCGGGCCTCAGGGTTACATTATGCAGCAGCTCCCATTACTCTTAACTGGCTGTTACCAAAGAACAGCAAGGAAAACCAAACACTGTTAATGACTAGAGCTGGCCTGAGCTCTTCAGGGTGGAACTCCTGACTGGAGACAAGTGGTTTAAGCCATTAGCACTTATGAAACGTATCCTAAAATGAAACCAGAGCTCCTCTCCTTCCGCTAAATACAGCACAAGTGGGAGCTTTTCATCAAGTGGCTTTTATTCGAGCTAAGAACATTGCTTTGCAGCCTAAAGATAGGAATGGAATTGAACGACAGAAAGCTCAAATATTTACTAATTTTGTATTTTTTAAATCAATGTATTAGGTGAAGGAAGTCCACGGTTAGAGCTCTTAGTTTGTCTTTGTTTCATTTATCATCACACCAGTAGAAGTGAGATCCAAAGCAGCAAACAGACCAATTTATACTGCGAATACCGGGGGGAAACATCAGTAAATGCACAACCAAAACTCTCTCTAGCAGTGATTTTAACTTTACATTGCAAGAACATAGACATTTCAATCACACAAACCCTTGGAACTGTGCAAACATTAAGCTCTGGGCAAGGCAATTCCCCGTCTCTCTGGAATACTGGAGATGGGGTTTAGTTGCATTCTGAAATCCTGGGCTGAGAAAATCCTGAAGTGGCCAAAGCCAAAATTAAGCCAAAAAGGTGCCAGCCAGGGCAGGGGGGGGGTGTGGGTGGGAAAACAGCAATTCTGCCTTGCCCTGGGCTGCAGGAGGTAGTGGAAGGCAGAGTGAGAGCCCCTAAATGATGATTCTAAGTGGATAGCTCTGCACATGTTCCTGTGTAGCTCCATCGGTGTAGAAACCATGGGATTCCCCAGGACATCCCAGGCACTCCACCAGGGAGGCTGCACTGCTAGATCACATCACACAAGATTCTGTGTGCCCTCAACAGCCCAAGCACCATCCTGCTCTGAGCAACTCTGACCTGCAGCTGCAGGGCAACCTGCTAGAGATCAGCACTGCCCACCCCGTGCGACCACTGAGCTGGACCTGCTCAGTCCTCAGCTTCCCATCTGCTTCCTAGTGGGATGGCCTCTGGGTTTAGTATTGAGTGTAACAGGCTCCTGCCCATGATGGGCTGTTGGACAGCACAGTCACACCATCGTTTAGGTTGGAAAAGACCTTTGGGTGCATCTGAGTCCAACCATTAACTCAACACTGCCCAGTCCACTACTAAACCATGTTCCCAAGTGCCACATCTGCACACCTTTCAAATCCCTTTAGGGATGGTGGCTCTACTACTGCCCTGGGCAGCCTCTTCCAACACTTAATGACTCTTTCAGTGAATAATTTCTTCCCAATATCCAACCTAACCCTCCTTTTGATGAGATAAGAACAACCATATGATACCTCTCTTTTCTGTTGAGAAATAAACCAGACTTTCCATCGCTTTCAATTCTCCAACATCCACCCATCAGAGTCTGGTTTCTTTATATTAGCCCCAAGCAGCTTCTTAAAGCCCTAGTGGTCTTTTACTATTCAAGCTCAGGTCTCTTTCCTGAATGAAGTATTTTAAGCCAGATCCTTCACTATGTCACATAAGCATGCTGGAAGGAGGTCTAGGAAGCTTCCAGCCCTGATACTGTACAAATAAGACCATGTTCCTACCCAGCATTTAGAGGAGAACGATGCAGGAGATCACTTACAGAACACATTAAGTCTTCTTGAGCTTCAGAGGGATGCACTGACCCGGGTGCACGGGAAGGAGACGCGTGCCTGTGTGTGCTGCAGCGGGCGCTCAATGTGCATTTGCAAAGCAGAAGTAAAATCCGTGTGCTATTGAGAGCAATCCTCAGGCATCCTGTGTCCCCCCAGCAGCCAAAGCGGGCACAGATATTCAAATCACTCACTAAAAAAGCACTGGGGCACTATAACACGGAGCCAGACTCACACTTTATCCTAGTGTTTGATCAGTTAATAGAAGCAACAAAACCTACCTGCATTTTAACCCCCCCCCCCAAACTGGATGTTTAACACTGATACCCCTCCATCACCACTGCAGCCATCAAAACGTGAGGGATGCCTTGAATTATTCTAACCTTACCTGTTTGCCTCCCAAGTGAAACCCGGAACGTTGCCTTTTTACTGCCAGCTGCAGGTTTCAACCCAACAGCACCACGAAGGGGACTTCTTGTCAAATCCTGTATGCTCTCAGTTCTTCTAGCACAGCACGTGGAACAAACACAGCTCATTTCCTTGTTTGTGCCATCTTCAGAGGCACAAGCAAGGCTAAGTAAAACACACACCAAACCCTGGCCTCTGCCCTACAGGTTGACCCCTCCAGCCTTACCCCTAAATGCTCACAGAAGAGCCAGCACCTCTGTGATGTGCAGCACTCAACTGCTCTCACCCAATGTGGTTTTCACGTTCAAGCCACACAGAGGGAAAACCAAATCTCCCTGCTGAAAGGCCTTCTCCAGCACTTCCACTCTCAATGGCTTTCTGAAGAAGGCACCCAGACCAAAGAAACTCTTTATAGGGTCTCTTATACTTTGCTGTTCTTAAGCACCATGTAATGCTCTAAGTGACAAGGGCATTTTAAGTGCACATATCATTGTAGGAAGAAATCCTGACCAGCAGTAACTAAAGATAATGGTTTTCTTCACACTGTAGCATGAGACCTTCTAGACCCAGCAGAATAACTGACATCCATATCAACACGTTCATCCCAGTGCAGCAAATCCCCCAACACAACCAAGCTGATCACAGGTTTTGGCTTCCTGGCCCCAGGTCTCAAATAGCTTCTGCTGCTGGTGCCTGTGTCCTGGGCAGTGATCCTACAGGGCCTCCTCACACTGACAATCCAGGACAAAGGTGTTGCCCTTTCTTCCTCAACAGAAAGTCCCCCCTCATCCAGTGGCATTCAGGTTTGCCCAAGACCCATGGAAACAGAGACACTGCTCAGTTACTGTAGATACACAGAACAGCACCTTCACCTTCTGGATGAAGTTAATGTAACAACCTCAGGCACATTAACTGACCCTCTGATCCTCTTCATCCCCATGGACAGAACCAAAACCTAAAGGGTTATTTGCATGTTAACTTTAAGCATACAAGAAACAGGAACACAGAAAAGAGACTTCGATAACGTCAGTTGGAACGGCAGAAACATGCTCCCATTCTAACCAGACTCCACTAACACACCTGAAGAGCTTCCTTCTCCCATAGGCACACAGTGGACCCAGCTGGACCAAGAAAACAAAGCCACCCAACTGGCACCAGACCCATTCTTTCTCAACATCCGTTATGTCTCTTGATTCAGTCAGATTCTAGGAGAGGAATTCTTTAAATACAAGCACTTTTAAAGCTTTTAGCAAAAGAGAATACATTTTTTAAACAGGCAACTGCATCTGACAAAAACCAAAGACCTCAAGTCACTGAAACAGAAAAGAACCTAAACTCAAGCCCTTCAAATGATGAGTTGAAATAAAACCATTCAACTCTGATACAAATCAAGTGATGCTTTGCCAGGCTTGTTACAAACTCCGCCAATGCTCCTTTTCTCCCAAATCAAATTACACTGCAGCCCAAGATTAACTCCCAACTTGGGTTTTGCTGGCTCCGAAAGATACCTGCACGTTTTACAAGCAAAAAGAAACCAACACCCGCTTTCATTCGTTAAAACCTACAGTATGGACAGCGGATAAAGCGGGCTCTAAAGCCCCACTTCATCCCACACGTTGTGACGGTGCTGAAATTAAACAGAGAGCGGGGAAAGAGCCCCGTTCGTTTCCTGTTTAACCGCACCACGCGATGAGGTTTCTCCTCCCGGCTGCAGGAGGAGGCTCCGCCAGCACCGGGAGGTGGAGCCCGGGCCGAGCCCCCGAGCGGCGGCGCTTCCCCCGCCTCGGGCCCGGGGAACGAGAACGATCGTTGCTCACCTTCCATGCTCCGGCCGCGGTCCTGGCTCCACCTGGGCTCGGCACTGTCAGAGCGAAGCGGCCTCGCCTCCCGCGGCCACCCCGACATCCGGCCCGGCGGCGGCGATGGGCGGGCGGAGAGCGGCGCCGGGCGGCGGCCGCAGGAGGCGACCCGGCCCCGAGGGCTTTGCCCTCCCTTGGGGGCCGCTGCTGGTGCCTCGGTGATGACACGGGCAGAAGGAGCCCCCTCGGGAGGGGGAGAAGGGGGGGATAGGGGCTGAGGGAGCATCTCCGAAACAGCAGTGCAAAGCGCCGGGCTCTCCGTGGCAGCATCACCTCCAGCCATCACTCGGCCATGCCCCAGAGGCTGGGAGATGGGATGGGCAGAGGGTGAACCCCACACAGCGCACCAAGGGGCCAAAGGAAAACACTGGAAGGAAACCTCCCTCAGCATCACTGGAGATAAGCTGTGTCCCCACCATCAGAGGTGGCTCCATCAGGGAGAAAGCCATGGCCAGTCCCTGGGCAGGGATACAGGCAGGAATGGGATTGAGGGGAGCAGTTCCAGGGGAAATAAACCAACAAGACAGGAGTAACCTCACCCTGAGGCTTTACACATGCTCTCCTATGACACCCAGCTAGGTCAGGGTCTCCTTCAACCCACAGTTCCACTCGGAAGCAGACCTGCTCTGTTTCCTGCAGTGCTGCCAGGTTGCGTGCACAGATCCACAGCCCACCATGGGCAGCTAACCCAAAATACTTATTTCCGGGAGCCGTTAATCTTAAACTCTGCAGCAAGCGCCTATACCCCAAAATAGCACTGGAAATCTTGCGATGGCTTGGGTTAGGTCACTCGAGGGACACCAGCTATTCATATGGAGAGCGTAGCAGGGTGACATGGAGCTATTTGCGTTGGCAGAGCCCTGACTCATTTCATCTCACACTGCAGAGCCAAGCAGGCTGAGCCCGGATTAGAACTGGTGCAGCGATTGTGCACTGCGGTGCCCACGCACGTGGAAGAGTGACTTCTGTTCCACAAACTCCATTTTCCTTTGTGCTCAGTCTGTCCTGGCTCCGTCTACACATCCCATAAACATGGCAAGGCAGCCTTAGCTGTTCAACAAGTGCTGCTTTCATGGCATTACACGTTCAGGGATCATGCTCCTCGGATTGTACATTAAATGACTGAGATAAGCAAAAGAAAACAGAAGTTAGCTGCTTTTCTTAGCAAAGTCACATTGCTATTTAGAAAATCAAGTTACAAAGTCGTTTAATAAGTTAAATTAAAGGAGGCCAGCACAGTCTTCACTTCATGTGCAAGCTGAGCGCTTGTCATCATGGCATTTTGCTTCACCCAACACCCAGAGCTACTCACCAAGGAAAGGCCTCAAAAGGTAAGAGCTGGTTCTGATCTCACATCAGCCCTGAACTCAGCTGTGCTTTAACACTGAGAAATCAATGTTTGATAAGAAGGTGGATGGAAGCTTAATGCGTTGTTTTGTTCTTTTACTGATAACACTCCCACAACCTGATGGTCTAGGAGTTAAAGTGGCAAATGAAACTGTGATCTGGCCTGATCGCTTGGATGCAAACCCAAAGACAGTGAGTGCGAACTGCCATAGCTCAGGTGTGTGAGAACACGACATGAAGCCAGGATTCTCCTCCTTCCTGTGGACTGTCAATGACTGCTTCTGCAATCGAGGCTTTTCCACCACTTGGAAAACAGTTCTGGAAATACAGTGTTTAAAATACCAAAGATATCTGGGATAATCAGGCCCTATTCTCTGCTATTCCAGACAATCTCTGTATTCCCCTTCCAGAACCATCTAATAATTTGGAAGGTTTGTTGCTCCTATGAACTTCAAGGAGCCCTGGAAACTACTATGCGATGATCAGAAAGCTCTGTTTTACACCCCAGGATTATTCAGGGCCATTTTCTCCTACTCCCAGCTTTGTTCTCCAATTTAAACCTTTACATCCCCTCATATTTACCATCAGAAAACCAGTAATGTCTTCTCTCTGCTTTTATTTCAAGGGCAGAAATCGAAAGAGCCTGGGTTTGCCAGCCTGTAAAAACCTCTGCAGCGTTCATCAGGGCTCTCCTTCTCTTTACATCACCCACCTTAAAGATCAGAGATCAAACTTGTGCTCTGCATCCCAGGTAACATCTCTCCAGAGCCTTGCACAGGTCATTCACGTGCTCCTGTGCTCCTGGGACTCTCTCCATGTATTTCCTAGGATAAAAGATATTTGCCTTTTTAATATCTACTCACACCATGATCCTCTTCTATTACTTCCTCCTTCACCTCCTAGCTGCTAGCAGAAACAGCTAGTAATGTAATTCAGAATGACATGGCTTCACGTCTTGCCCTGTTAAATCCTCCCCCCCACCACCATTACCATGTGCTTAAAGAAAACCAGTTTTTCCCCTCCCCTGAGCTCACCAATCTGTAATGGCAACTTATCAGTTTGAAAGCTTAGAGACCAGAAAAGGAAGGAGTCATTTGACTAAACACACAGAGCAGAAGCCTGAGTGACAGGCTTATATAAACCTTTATAAAGATCCAAAACTGCAGACAAAGCTTTATAGCAAAGATCCCATTCTATCATAACTAGCAAGCTGGGGACCGATGGGCTGTGCAGGGCTGTTACATCCTTAGGAACAGGGGATGTTCAGCCTGAGCTGTGACTCTGTAGCAGACAGTTTATCAACTGAACCATGACAGCGTGAGCGTGGAGTGTGAACTCTGAGTAAAACTGAAAGCATTCACGACATGGGAACGCTGGACCTTTTGGGGTGGGCCTAATTCTGAACTGTTGAGCAGCTCACGGCCATTAAAAATGAAAACCCTGATGCAGCTCTTCTACCCTAACCGACCACTTGAGAGGATCTTGGGTGAAGAGAGAAGAAAGTTGTAGCCGCTTCCCTGCAAAGAGAGAGAAGTGGTTCCAGTATAGATTGGGGAACGATCTGTTAGAGAGCAGTGTAGGGGAGAGGGACCTGGGGGTCCTGGTGGACGACAGGGTGACCATGAGCCGACACTGTGCCCTTGTGGCCAAGAAGGCCAATGGCATCCTGGGGTGTATTAGAAGGGGGGTGGTTAGTAGGTCGAGAGAGGTCCTCCTTCCCCTCTACTCTGCCCTGGTGAGACCGCATCTGGAATATTGTGTCCAGTTCTGGGCCCCTCAGTTTAAGAAGGACAGGGACCTGCTGGAGAGAGTCCAGCGCAGGGCAACTGAGATGATGAAGGGAGTGGAGCATCTCCCTTATGAGGAAAGACTGAGGGAGCTGGGTCTCTATAGTTTGGAGAAGAGGAGATTGAGGGGTGACCTTATTAGTGTATATAAATATATAAAGGGGGAGTGTCACAAGGATGGAGCCAGGCTCTTCTCAGTGGCAAACAATGATAGGACAAGGGGCAATGGGTACAAACTGGAACACAAGAGGTTCCACTTAAACTTGAGAAGAAACTTCTTCTCAGTGAGGGTGACAGAACACTGGACCAGGCTGCCCAGGGAGGTTGTGGAGTCTCCTTCTCTGGAGACATTCAAAACCCGCCTGGACACGTTCCTGTGTAACCTTATCTAGGTGTTCCTGCTCCGGCAGGGGGATTGGACTAGATGAGCTTTTGAGGTCCCTTCCAATCTCTAACATACTGTGATACTGTGATACTGTGAAGTGAAATAAAGAGGCCGCACACACATTTAGTAGGACAAGGAGTTTCACAAGACATTAAATGATGGGGACACTACTTTCCAATACCACCAGGCTTGAGTAAAAGTCTTTGCTGTCAGCAATGTGATACCTTCTTTTCACACTTGTTTTGCATACTTTATTAAACAGAACTCGTAACTCAAGTGCTTTTTTGCATGGAAGCACTGAACTAAAACTGTGACAGCTGTCTGCAGAAATAACCCTCATTCCTGTGCTGGCCGGTTCCATATTTGTTATGCAAATACTATTACATCATTTTTGGACACTGTCCTGGGCAGGGGCAGCCCAGTAAAATATGATTTAGGGAATGACCGGAGCCCAGGGCTCCTGAGCTCGAGTCTAAGGATGCGCAGCGTGGGCAAACCCAAGTCCCCTCCTTTCCCTGCTCTGCTGTTTCCCGAGTGGTTTTAGAGCACTCGCTCTAGAAGCAAAATATTTCTACTTTAAAGAGTTTCCAAGCGGTGAGCAACTCTTCCAAAACATGTAACGGACTTAAAAACCACTGAGTGCTTCAAATAACACCAGACTGGGTTGGGTTGGAAGGGACCTCAAAGCTCCCCCAGTTCCAACCCCTGCCATGGGGCAGGGACCCCTTCCACTGGAGCAGCTTGCTCCAAGCCCCTGTGTCCAACCTGGCCTTGAGCACTGCCAGGGATGGGGCAGCCACAGCTTCTCTGGGCACCCTGTGCCAGCGCCTCAGCACCCTCACAGGGAAGAGCTTCTGCCTAAGAGCTCAGCTCAGTCTCCCCTCGGGCAGGTTCAAGCCATTCCCCTTGCCCTGTCCCTACATCCCTTGTCCCCAGCCCCTCTCCAGGTTTCCTGCAGCCCCTTTAGGCACTGGAGCTGCTCTAAGGTCTCCCCTTCAGGAGCCTTCTCTTCTCCAGGCTGCCCCAGCCCAGCTCTCTCAGCCTGGCTCCAGAGAGCATCAGGAACCAAACATTTCCAGTAACCAAGTGTTTCCTATTTCTATTCTAGGGCAGTTGCATGTGAATCTTAGAGAAACAGGAAAGCTGATGTTGCTGGGGTTTAAGGAGTACGTGTCTGGAGCCTACACTTGCACTCTTTCTCACAAAATCTTAGAAACTACGACACAGGAAGAAAGAGAAAGGTTTGAGATGAACAAATTCATGGTCTATGGTAAGCTGGCTAGCTCCTTCGCCAACTAATGCACATGGCCTTTGTGGTTTGGTGGGTTTGTGAAGTGCATGCTTATGGCAAGGCTTGATATAACAAAATAATGAGCTGCTATTTTATCTCAGAATAGAAAATCTCTATTTTTTATATTTATACACACACAGCCCTTCTCCCAGCGTTGGGAAATGTTTTCAATAACTGCTACCAAGCATAAAACAATCTCTACCCTTGTTAAAAGCCAAGTGAACTACAGCAGCTCCAGCCAGATCCAAGCTCTGAAAAGGAAGCTCATGTCCAAGTGCAGTCTCCCACATTAGAGACTGCCAAACCAAGCATAGGCCGCTCCCCCATTGTAACCCCTGGCCACAATGTCACCTCCCCACCACAAAAGAACATCCAAAACTGTTTGAGAAACACTTCTAGCATCATTTTACAAACCCTTCCCTCCTCCAGCAGAGCTGCAGAGGATGCTTGTGCACAGCCCCAATCCATTGCAGCTCTACGACTTTGCAGACACGCTCGGTCTGTGCTATTTCACTATTTGCCCACTTTCTGGTATTCATATTTGAGCTCCATAAGCACAGAAATTCCTGTACATTTCAAACTAAGATGCCTCTTACTCCCAAGTCAGCTCTGGCAAGGCCAAATTTGTTGTGCTGTGGTTAATGAGTAAGTTTTATATATTCATTTGCTTTTGAATAAGAGCCCATGTTTCAAAGTACACTGATACAGACGTGAAGGTTCTATTGAAGCCTCCCTCTGTGATCACACACAAACTCTCTGCTTACAGCATACAGGGAAGCTGACCACACATATCAGATCTTCGTTCGCTTTACTACCAGGGAGTGTGAGCTACGAGCCGACAGCCAGTTCTTTGAGGAGCTCCTGAGAATCGTACCTAACATCACCTCGGATCTGACGTGTCGCATCACTGAGTCCTCCTGCAAGTGCCACTCTGTGAGGACACCCAACGGAGGCCTCCTGCACGAACTGTTTGTTAGTTTTCAAGGTAACAGATTCCCGTGTTTGTTTGGGAGGGTTCATTTATGTTTATAAACCCGAGAGTGCAACAAACAGCACCTGAAATACATGAAAACCAAGCAAGTCTTTGAGAGCTCTTTCCCTGTTCGCTTTCGGAGTCCCTGTATTTTTTCTTACTAGCCCACAGATGGAGCTAAAATGCAGTTTATACATTGAACTTGTAGCACCATCCTTCTTACAACCTAAGCAAGAAATGCTCTTTTCAAGGTGTGCACTTGGAAAGGCTTCTTGACAGGAGGCAGCTGATAAAATGCCATGATTTTTCCCTTGTAAAAGGAAACAGGTTATGAACCTAAAGATACTTGCTTGAGGTACTCGAGTTCCTTGCAATATATTCAGCACATTCAACTGTGTCTTCTTCCCCCCACCCATAGTCAATCCTTTGCACAAGGATGGGAGGAAGCTTGCAAACAGGTTCCTTAGGACTGCGAAGATGTGACAAACATGAGGGTTCAAGAGGTTTGTGTCAGCCACCCTTGTGTCTTCTCTGCGTGTTTAACTGATTTCACTGGTGCTTATCCAGCTTCACCCACATTTTATGGGATTAATAGCATCGCAAATGACAATTCACAGATTTCAAATCATTCATTTCAGGATGAAAAACTGGTTTTAAAAGGCAAATTGATCCAAACAGTTTAAGAAGTCAGGCTCATTACGTCCTTTATATTTACCCCTAAGTATAAGGAATTTGAAGGATTAACATTTGTATTAGTATACTGAACTTCCAGCTCTCTAAACTAAATCTCTGATTTATGACTTGATAAACAGAATGCCATTTAAAGTAAGTCTCATGTAGCTGGCTCCTAAAACCTGTTCTCTGGCTTTTTAATGTTAAACCACACCATCAGATTACACACTGGGTCTGATCCCAGGCCCCCTGAAACCAGAGGAAGATTCCCAGTTAACATAATGGGTCAGTGCACGTGGGAATCAGGATGATAAAGTATTAACTGATGTTATTAAATCAGTAACAACCAACTGGCTCATCTTGTATTCCCCCAATGTTTCTGGGTTTTAGGCAAGAGATCGAATTGGGGAGTTTTTCAAGAAGCTGATGTATGCTTTGAGGCACGCGGTCCAAACCATCCCTACAATACACTATGTGGAGAACAGCTTCTCAGTGACTCACATTGACAGCTGCTGACCAGGCTTTGGGAAGAACAAGGTCACCCACTGGGGCTGCAGTGGTAAATACGAAGCACAGCAATTTCATGTATGGCTTTATTAGCTCTGGTCACAGGTTTCTCTGAAGAGCAGTTGGTAAATATCAGTGTGGAAGGCACCGTTTCCATTCATCTTTTGGAAAGACATTTCCCTTGCAGGTTGAAGAAAGAGAAGAACAGAAAAGCCTTTGTTAGCACGTTGGCAGGTGCGAAACTGTATTGCCAAGTAAAGTGGAAGTGGTGAGGTGAGGTTTTAATTCCAGGTCACTGGTGAGTAACTATGCTCAGGGTGTAAAGCAGATGAGCAATGACCTTAATGGCAGAGCTGCTAGAAAACACCCAGCTGTTTTAAAAAGACCTTTTGCCAACAGCACCCACTGCTAGATCTGGAGGTTGGGGGTTTAGTGAGAGGTAGGCTCAGAGAGCTTGGGAAAGATGAGGATCCCTTTGGAGCACTGGGAAGCACGTGGTGGTGTCCGATGATCCCAGCCACAGCAGAGGCAGAGGAGAGCTGCCTGACGTGCTGCCTGTGTTCTCCTCACTGTGGTCTGTGAGCCTGGAACGTACAGTCCCAACAACGAAGTGACCTGCCAGCTTTGTGCAGATCCTCAAGTCAGGATGTACGGAGCAAGATTCTGGTGATAAACTGACAGCAGAAACTGGGAAACCGAAGAGCAGCTGTGGAAAAACTCGTTTTGTGATGTTCTGTTCAGTTGTAGCTGCCAATTCTGGAACCCTGCATTCCGTTATGAACAGTTGCAAAACTTCATTCATCCACCTCCGGATTTTCTGTAGTCAGGGACCACTTAAACTGCAGAAGTGATGCAGGAACTGAAGCGTTCATGCACGGTAAAGGGATTCAATGGAAACAAAAAGGACGTTTGTCACGTGGCTGTTAGTGCAAAGAGCCCGTTTCTTGGTGGTGACACCAGCCCTGCTGCAGCTTTGTGCTGGTTTGCTCAGGGAATGTAAAGGAGGTGGAAACCACTCTGGGAAAGACAGCAGACAGTTGTAGTGGAATTCCGTGCCATGGTGACACAAGGCAGAACCTCTATGAGCAGTTCCTAGCAGATACTAGAAGAAGTATTTCATCTTTGTGATTTAGAAGCATTCAATGCCCTTCCCTTTGTTTGTCAGTGTTTCCTTGTGCCTGAAGTGTACAGTGCAGAACTGTACAGTGCACTAGCCAGCACTGACTGGCTCAGGGCTTTCCCTACTGCTCCACCAGTGGGAGCCCCAGACACCAGCAGCAGGGAAAGCAAAACCGGGGCTCCAAGACAAGAGAGAGGGTGAATAAACTCCACAGCCCAGCAGACAGGAGAATGAAGGACCCAGCTTTCAGGGTTCTCTTCTTGCCTTGCTGCAGGGAGGCTGCAGAGCTGCCTCACGCTGTGTTTGCTGCTCCCTCTTCCCCTTCAGCTGCACCAAATCCCCGCGGCAGAGCTCTGCTGGCCCCAGGTGCTGTATGAGCAGATGATCCTCTTAGACCAGCTGGAAATTCCATCGAGTTCACCGGATGATGGGATTTGCCAAAGCACTGAGATAATGGGAAAGTTTCCTTCCCAGAAAAGCCTGACTCTGGTCTCATTTTGAAGGCTAACTGCTGGATCTGCAGCAGTTGATCATCTAGCTCATAAAGCACTGTTAGTAAAGGCTATTTTACTCATACCAGAAGGTTCACCACTAACCCTGACTGCTATGGTCAGAGCATGGGCTGTGTGAGGCTTACAAAGTGGAGCTACCAGGACAAGGGCTTTTAGCACTTGATTTTAACCTTTGTAAGCCATTCCCTTCCAAGAGCTGCTCCCTTCCACACTCACGTTGTCCAGGGACAGCAGAAAACTCTCCCTTGTGAAGCACAGCCCCCCAACATGGTCCCTTTTGAAGCCACTTGCGTGACAGTGGCATAGCCCCCACAATCCAAGCGAAGGGAACACCACCCCAGTGCCTGCACATGCTGAGCCATGGAAAACCAGACCCAGCTTCCCAGCACAGAGCCATTCCTTTCTTTTTTTGCAGTATGTAGGACTAAATGAAGCAAAAAGAGCACCTCCTCCTCAATAACTGCAACTTCTTGTGGCATCTAGGAATGCCTTGGTGGGTATTCATCCAAAAATCGACCAGATTCAACCCCGTTTAACTTATCCACTTTGACAGGAGCACAGCAGGAGACGGAGCGGGCACAGACCATGCTCAGAGCTTTTCAGAATCATTACTTATTAAATACTGATGAATAAAATGTACTCTAACGAGCATTTAAAGTGCCTGTAGGCTGATTATCCTCACTGCCAACTGGACACTGTGTGCACAGCTCGGGCTTATCCTGATTAAGCAGACGGGCTCCATTGCTGCCTGCATCCCTCAGCCTGTTTCACAACAGAGGAATGCCACATACATAAATTAGGGGGGGGAAGCAGTGAGGAGTTCCTAAGTGCAATGGCAACGAGTCACCTTCTAAACTGGAGGTACTGGAAGCTCTTACAGTGCCTCCACTTCTTCAGTGGGCCTTAAAAGTAGAGAAATAGGACAAATAGTGCAGCTTTGCATCGTGGAGGAGTTTGTATCATTGATTCCATGGAGAATGCTGTGAAAACGTGATGTGAAACGGTGTCACTCTGACCTTTCCCAAAGGAAAGCTCTCTCCATCCAGCCTTCGCTGCCTGAACGCAGCTGAACCTTGTATTGGTGACATGCCACCCTCACAGCTCGCTGTCATCACACTTGAGGTGCTATGAATCACTGCCTGCACCTCACCTTTACCTCTTAGCATCCCTCTCTACCCCCCCCAGCTGTGATAATAGCTCCTGGGGAACTGCAGGAGCCTTCCTCACCCCTTCAAACCCTCTGTTTCTTGCTCTGCTCTGGTTTTACACACCTTCCCTTTGGAAACATGGGCTGGAGCTGATGCTCTCAGCACAAGGGGGTGCTCCTGTGAGGTTCAGCCCTACAAAGCCCCACTTCAACCAGCCCCAAGCAAGCAGCTCTGATCTCCCTCTTTACAAGGGACTATTACAACACCTCAATAACTCATTTGGAACCTAAAACTTCCTGTCTCCTTCCCCACACAGGCCTCCGGGAACTCAGCCCTTCCCAAGCTCCTCATCCCAACAGCGCACGAGCCCTTTGGAACACCCAATGACAAGAGGAACCTGCCAACTTGGAAGCTGCAGCCCCATTGTTCCCCCATCGCCTCTGCCTTTTCCCAGCTGGGAACAAAGCACTTGAGGAACGCTTCACAAGCACGTGTTAAAGCACTCACTGCAGAGCCCCTGCTCCAGCTCTGATGGGATGGTTGGCTCAGAGCTCCCCACAGCATCTCTCTTACCCCACAAGCAGGATGTTGCTCTGAACGGAAGGCAGCAGGAGTTGACCGGGTCCCAGGCCATCATGGTGACACACTGCAGCTTGCAGCTCAGCACAGCACAGCACATCCCTGTCCTCAGCAGATTATAAAGGAGAGGGGCTGTGGAGGAGCTGCCCCAGGTGCGCTGTGATCAGCTCATCCCAGGGACTCATCACACCTGAGCCAAGGACGTGCTGGGTGCAGCCCCTGCTCATCCATCCCTAGGGAATCCCCCTTTGAGTTGCTTTGGTGGGAAGTGGCTGGAAAACAAAGCCAAGAGTTGAGGGTGTCATTCGTGTCCCCCGGGACCTCCAGCTGATGCTGCAGGAGCCATGGGCTGGGTGCCATGGGGACAACCTGGGATGCAGCTCCGGGATGCATGTTAGAGATGGAATCCCATGTGTGAAGCAGGAGGAGGGCTGGGACTTTGTGTGTGAAGGAAAACCGAGCCTGTTTAGGTGGGGTGCTTGGTGAGAAGATGCTTCCCTCTGAGAGGGGCAGCTCTGGAGCCCCCCCTCTTTTATTACCAGGCAAAACCTTGTCTCACAGAGCACCATCACAACTGATCCCAGGGCTCAGCAGCACTCAGCTCACCCAAGGCAGTGTGAGCAGGAGGGATGTGTGAAGCACCGAGCTCTGAACCACAGGCACGGGAAGAGAGGGGATCTTCAGCTCTGCTTTGGTTTCCTCCCCACTGCAATCCCATTGCCTCCCACTGAAGCCCAGCGACCACACTCACTGTGCAGCCCCGCTCCTACAGGGAGCAGCAGCCCGGGATTAATGAGCCCTTTGCAGGCAGTGAATAACTGTGATTCCTTGTTGGCAGCAGCGCCACTGGGAATGGATTTGTTTGTGGTGGAGATAAAGAAGCGGGGCTGCAGAGCTGAAGGGCCGCTGATGAAGTGCGGGCCAGCCTTAATCACAGTGTAATTGCCACCATCCGTCCTCATTACTTGTAAATGTTTTGATAATGGTGGAAATTAAACAATTAGACATCCTTCCTTCCCTCTGGCAAATCGAATCAGTTCAAAGTTCAGGATGCAGGCTGGGGCCACGCTTCTGTCTGCGGCTGGCAAGAGCCTTGCTTTATCTTGCTCCTAAACCCCACAGCAAAAGTGAATGCGCATCCCAAGGCATGCAGCCCCCATCAGCACCACCGAGGGGATGGATCCCATGGATGCACAGACCCTGGCAACCAGGAGCATCGTTTGGCTCATGGAGGGAGTCAGGACCAGGCAGCAAAAGAGGCATCACAACCAGTGAGGACCCATCTCTCACCAGTGACCAGTATTCCTCCATTGCAGAGAGGCAGGACAGCTCCTCGTGTGCCCGGTGCGATGGGCGGAGAGCACCTTGGAAGTCAATGGGAGCTTTAGTGGCGTGTGGAGCGCTGCAGAAGGAGGTCACGCTGCTAATGCTGCTGCTGCTGATCCCAGCAGATGAATCAGGAGAGGAATTACCCGGGAATGCAGCATTAAAATGGATGATGCCATCACCACGACTCAGGGAAAGCGATGACTTTGACATGAACCCCTGGTACCCACCAGCGCCAAGGCAGGAGCTCGCCCACAGCAGCAAGTGCCGCAGAGTGGGAGGAGGAAAAGCCCTCTTTGGGATGGAGCTATGGAGGATTGCAGGCTGCCATCCCCAATTCCTCCTGTGCTCAGTCACATCCCGAGACCCCCCCAACGCCCCAGCTTGGAGGGAATACCGGTATTCCCAGTTTTCTGCGCTTCCCCATTCCCTTTTAACACCCCATCAAATATCAGACATTACCAACAGCACGCAGCTGGGTCCATCCCAGTCCAGGTTCTCTTCCCAAAGCTTACTGCAGGTTTTCATGAGGTTTCTTACCTATTTGACCCCCCCATCCATGGGGTTCCACAACCAACCACCAGAACCCACCTCCCTTCCCCATGCTTACGGGGGCTATCATGAACCCAGTGCTTTCCACCCTAATCACTCCAGGCAGGGCTGGCCCTGGGGGTCAGCATCATCCAGCCCCATGGAGCCACAGCCCCATGGACCGGGTGGCAGCAGCATCCCCGGGCCCTCCGCAGCTGCTCCCGAGCAGGGTCCCCCCGGAGCACCCCGGCCTGGGGACAGCAGCCATCTGCTGGGAGCCCGGGCCTGCGTCTGCAGACAGCGAGTGCCAAACGAGGTCAGTGTCCCCAAGCAGGAGCTGTCACAGCGCGTTAGGGTCCCCGCTTCCTCCTCCCACCGCGCATCCGCATGCGCCAAGCAGGGAAAGGTGCCGGCAAACCAGTGCCCCAAGAGGGACCAGTGGGACCGTGGGCACTGGGATGGGTTTGTCCCACCTGCCCCAGGTGATGCCCAGGGGAACCGGAGGGAGCAGGGCCCTGGCACAACGTGGCTCGGGCACCGTCACCGTGCCGGTGACCTGAGCCGTGCAGCGCTCACTGACTGCAGCCAAGGGCAGGGTTACCGGCAGCGCCACGGATCGGGTTCCACAGCTCCAGCACCAGGGCACACAGACTGGGAGGGCACCGGCTGGCACAGGCACCATTCACCCTCCCTTTACAGCCAGGATGGCACCAAGGACCGGGTGATGCCCCCATGGACACGCACACACGGGCACAGGCTCCAAAGTCACAGCTGACTTTATTGGTGTATAAAGAACGTAAAAGGTCCCTTAAACAAAGCACACGCTGGGTCAGAGGGGCACCGCAGCCGTGCCAGTGCCTCGCTCTGGGGCCCCACAAGCCCTGGTTGTATGTGGGGAGCTGCCGTGGGGCTGTGGGCCCCGGGGGTGCCTGGTTTGGAGCTGGGGCTGAGGTGCTTGTGCGTGGCAGAGCCCCTGGTGTGTGCTGGTGATGGAGGCACTTGTGGAAGGGCGCAGGGGCTGCTCTGGACCACGGCTCCCATTGGAACCCATTGGAGGGGCAGCAGCCGGTGCTGGGCCTGGCCCGCTGCAGGGGATGCTCGAGCTGCTTTGGTCGGTGCTCCGGGTGAATTAAGGCAGTTTCAGCTTCAGCTGGTTTAAAACAAGGGCAGAACCCACCCAACCCAGGCCTCAGACTCAGCTGGGGGACTCTGGCTCCGCTCTTGCCTTTGCTTCTCAGTTGCCACTTGGACCCTGCGCACCCAAAGGTGGGCACCAACCCTGACCCGCGCTGGCCACCAGCGCCCTCCCCTCTACCTACTGACACCAGGAACCTGCAGCCCAATGCTGGAAGGGTCCAGAAGGGTTTTAGGGTGTTTTAGGGCACACTGGGGCTCCTGTGGGAGTGGGGAGAGGGCGGAGGAGCCGCGGGGCTCCCCCCATCCCCGCTCCCCTCACAGTGACCGGTCGGCAGCTTGTGACTCCTGGACAGGGATGAGGGAGCGGGCGGATGAGGGCAGCAAAACCCAACCTACAATGGTGCCAAGGGAGCACTGGGGGGAATCCTGCTCCCCCCAGCACATCCCCGAGGGCCGGACCCACTGCCTGCACCCCTCAGCTCCCCTCCAGCAGCTCCTGCATCCCTCAGCAGCTCATCCCCAGGTCCCCATTTGCTTCCTGTGAGAACATCGTGCTCCAAGGGGGAAGGTGCCGGGGTTGCCCATGAGCCGCCCCGTCTCCAAGTGTGACCCCCACTGGGACCAGGGGTGCCAGGAAAGGAGTGGGGAGCAGCAGGGGCTGGGATGGGAGATGGGGCAGCACCGCCCAGCTCAAGAGCTGGAGCGGGGTACCCAGGGCCTGCCCCTCACCCTTCCCAACCAATGTGTCCCCACCCTTTGGGCCGGTCCCTCCGGCCCCATGGCCACACCGCTGCGGGTGCAGGCAGGGAGCCCCGCACCGGCTGCCCCTGTGCCGCCGGGACCATCCCTTGGGCAGCCGGGGAGGGATTAAACCATGAACATCACCAGCGGGCCAAGGGACCTCTGCAAAGGGAATACCCTGGTTTGAAAGGGGGTCTGAACGCCACAGGGTGTCCGGGGTCCCTCTGGTCCGGGTGGATGCTCAGTGCCTGGTGCCCATCCCCATCCCTGCTTCACCTCCCACTGCTGGATGCTGCTTCCCCAAGGAGAACCGGACAAACCCAGGCCTGGTCCTGCGGGCAGCCGCGGGCGAGCCGAGTCCTGCCGGAGCCTCACACCACGGTGCTGATGGTGGACGACTCCTCCGACCTCCGCTGCTTGCTGGGCAGGGACTTGAGATACTCGAGGTGCCGCCGGGCGTCCTCCTGGTTCTGCCGCACGTAGTAGACCAGGTAGGAGATGACCATGGTGAACCAGCCGAACATGGTGACCAGCATGGCCACGTCCGTGGTCTTCTTGTAGGCGTTGCAGAGGTCCGTGTCGGCCATCACCTGCAGGAAGGCTTTGCCCACGTGCTCCTCCTGCACCGAGGAGTTGCAGACGAGGCCGCCGGAGGAGCCGGGCGCCAGCTCCAGGGTGCGGATGAGCTCCTGCAGCCGACAGTCGCAGAGCCAGGGGTTGTTGGAGAGGTTCACCTTGGCCTTCAGGTTGCTGAAGGTGTCTTTGCTGACGGACACCAGGTTGTTGGAGGACAGGTCCAGGGAGCGGAGGTGCTCTGCCAGGCCGAGGAACGCTCCGCTCTCGATGCTGGTGATGGCGTTGTGGGACAGATCCAGCTCCAGCAGCAGGGGCAGGTCCCGGAAGGCGTCGCGGGGCAGGAACGGGATCCGGTTGGAGTCCAGGTAGAGCTTGTTGGTGTCGTTGGGGATGTCCCGGGGCACCTCGGTGAGGCGGGCGCTGCTGCAGCGGAACGTCTTCAGCCCCTCCTCTTCCGAGGGGTAGCAGCCCTGCGGGAACGCTGCGGCCCAGCGGGGATGGGAGGCCAGGAGGAGGCCGGGCAGGAGCAGCCACGCAGTCACGGAGCAGAGCGGGATCCGCGCTGCCGTAGCCATGGTCCTGCACTGCTGCTGCTGTCACAGGGCCCCCGGCCCCGCAGCTCTCAGCGCCGGTGGCTGCGGCTGGACTGGGTGCATCTGAGGGGGAGACAGCAAAGGGACAGCGTCAGAGCAAGGGGTAGGAGCGCTCCGGCTGCAAGCACGGCCATGGGGCAGGGATGGGATGGGTCAGGGAGCACGGCCCATGCGTCCCTGCCATCGGCTCAGGGCTCCTGATCCAGTAGGATCAGGCCTTGAGGGGCCAAGCAAAGCCATCTCCTGCAGCTGGGCTCTAACACTGGGGTTGGATCCGGCTGAGCTCCGGCCCCACCAAGGTCACTGCGTTTGATGGCTCCTGCGCTCACTCGCACACGGCTGGGACGTCCCAGTACGGGTCCGGCTCCGGGTGAGCGCAATGGGAAACCCATGAGGGCAGAGGCAGAGCAGGTGCCCGCATCCCAGCTCCAGCAGCACCCATGGCACACGCGGGGTCTTCCCCTTTGGAGGGTGCCGGTGCAGGCTGGGTGCCGCGGTCCCCTGCCCGGTGCCCACACCACCCCGTAACCATGGTCCCCATCCAGCCCTCGATTCCGGAGGGGAAAAACGTCAGCAGGAAAGAAACGAAAACAGAGAAAGGAAATTCACTGGAGCTGAGCGTGCGGCCAGTTCCCAGGGTGGGTCCCGGATAAGGCCCCGGCTCAGCCCGGCTTCCCCAGCCCTGGGTCCCACCACGGCCCCATCCCATCCCCATCCTGACCGTGCTGGTGGAGCCACCCGGGCAGGATGCGGATGCTCTCCGTGGTTAAAGACACCGGTACAAAAGGGCACCATCAGTGTGCTGCAGGAGGGCTCCTGGAGCACCCACGCTGACAAACCCAGTGCCAAGGGGCCGAGGTGCTCACCCAAGGGGGGTCCCGGAGCCCCCCTGACCCCTGTGCAGTGCAGCACAGACCAACCACGCCAAAACACCCCAAGGTCACAGCACTGCAGCCCCAGCCCTGCACCACCGCCCCCCCCCCCCCGGGGCTCCTCATGTCCCCGAGCAGGGACCGGGGCTCACAGCGGACAAAGGGCACCGGGAGCCAGCCCCATGCAGGCATCAGGGAACCGGTGACCCGGGCAGGGACTGCTCCATCCCGGGGGGACCCCGCGGGGGGGATGCGGCTCTCGGGGCCCCGCGCTGGGCTGGGAGGGGGGGGTCCCCATCCCCCGGTGCTCCGGACCAGTGAGGACGGGCACAAATCAACCCCCGGCCACGGGGGGGGCCCAGCCCCTGGGGCAGGACGGGGCTGCCCGTGCGGGACCCGCGGTGCGCTCGGTGCAGGCGGGGATGCCCCGGGGTTCCCCCCGGCTCCGCTCCGCACCGGGGGCGTGCGGGCGAGGGAAGCCCCGGTGCTTCCCCGGGGAAGCTCCGCTCCGCGCTGCCGGGGACCCCCCCTCCCCGCTTCGCTTCCCGCTTGGCCCCGGGGGGGGGGGGTCCCGGTGCGGACTCACCTGGAGAGGGCGGCCCCGCGCCCCGGCCCGGAGCGGCCGCGCCCCGCGCAGCGCGGCGGGACCGGAGCCGGCGGCGGCAGCGGCGGGGCCGGTGGGCGGGATCCTCCGTGCGGGCCTCCCCGGGGCTCCCCGCCCCCGGCCCGCCCCGCCGCGGGGGGAACCGCGCAGCGCCGAGCACCCCCGGTCCCGTCCCCGCACCCGAGGGCTCTGCCCCGGGGCTCCCCCCATGAGCAGCGGGGGCGGCACCGGGGGGACCCGCGGGGATCCCGAGCGCGGGGACCCCCCCGGACCCTCACTGGAGCCCCCCCCCCCATGGGCTCTGCCCCCGGGGGTCCCCGCTGCCCGTCGGGAACAACCGGAACCCCCCCCTCCCCGCCCGCCGCCTCCCGCCGGCACCGGCATCGCTTACTCGGGGAAACCCGACCCGCGGCGGGGGCAGAGCCCATGGGGGGGGGGGGCCATCCCCGGGCTTCCGGGGCTCGGCGCTGACCCGGGTTCTGCCGCCCCGGGGCACCGGAGGGGCCGCTCAGCACCATGGAGAGCGGCCGCCGTTACCGGACCCGCTGACCCGCAGGGCCCCCCCTGCCCGCTGCATCCCCGGGGCTCCCGCCCATCACCGCGGCGGGGGGGGGTCTGTGTCCTTGTGGTGCCCCCCGGTCTCCGGTTCTCCTCGTGGGGGGAGAGCCCAGCCCCGCTGCCCGGGGAGGATCAACCGGTTACGAGGCGCTTGCCCTGGATCTTGGCTCCATCCGGAGAACAAAGCCCGATGGAGAGGCGCGGCCGGGCAGGGCACGGGGACCCCCGGGACCCCAACCCCGTGTCCCGGGGCTGGCCTGGGCCATGGGGGTGGCACCCGGGGAGCCGTGGGCAAGGCTCTTGTGCGCCTTTGGGTCGGGCAGCGGAGCAGCCCCGTGCCCATCACCAGTCCCAGCGCCGCCGGGACCTGCCGCATCCAAGGGGACAAGGGGACAGGCTCCGGGGGAGCTTGGGCTTCGAGTCCCGGCTCGGTGCTGGCAGAGACCCCGGCAGCAGGAGCAGCACCAGGGCTGCGCCCCCGAGGTCCCCCGTGCCAGGACACGGCACCCACGGACCCGAAGCCCCAACACCTGCAGTGCAGCACGGCCCCACACGGACCCTGCCCTGCTGCAGCCAAGGGAGAGGTGGCTCAATACAGCTGCACTGGAGCTGAATACAGCTGCACCGGGGCTGAATACAGCTGCACCGGAGCTGAATACAGCTGCACCGGGGCTGAATACAGCTGCACCGGGGCTGAATACAGCTGCACCAGGGCTGAATACAGCTGCACTGGGGCTGAATACAGCTGCACCAGAGCTGAATACAGCTGCACCAGAGCTGAATACAGCTGCACTGGGGCTGAATACAGCTGCATTGGAGCTGAATACAGCTGCACCGGGGCTGAATACAGCTGCACCGGAGCTGAATACAGCTGCACCGGGGCTGAATACAGCTGCACCGGGGCTGAATACAGCTGCATTGGAGCTGAATACAGCTGCACCGGGGCTGAATACAGCTGCACCGGGGCTGAATACAGCTGCACCGGGGCTGAATACAGCTGCACTGGGGCTGAATACAGCTGCACCGGGGCTGAATACAGCTGCACCGGGGCTGAATACAGCTGCACTGGGGCTGAATACAGCTGCACCGGGGCTGAATACAGCTGCACCGGGGCTGAATACAGCTGCACTGGGGCTGAATACAGCTGCACCGGAGCTGAATACAGCTGCACGGGGGCTGAATACAGCTGCACCGGGGCTGAATACAGTCAGTATCGACCGGGAAGTGGGACCAGCAGCCCCGGGGAGCCAGAGGTGAGCTCGGCTCCCAGCACAGCGGAGGCCGGAGCAAGCAAGGCCTAGGAATTCCTATGGGAACAGCCCCTGAGCCCACTGAGAACGGGGAACCGCCGGTCCAGGCTTCTGGCAGACAATGGATGGGGCAGAATCCCCCATTCAGGAACCCCGCAGCCCTGTTGCCGCTCTGGGGAGCGCAGGGAGCGGGATCCCACCCCTGTGCCCACCCCAGCAGGGGGATGCTGCCTGCTGCATCCCGGCAGGGATCCGTATTGATGGGCGTTTAAAAATAGCCTCCGCATTGTGCTTCCCCCTCACGTGCGGAGCCAGCGGGGTGCGGGGATGCTGCTAAATCAGATGTCACCGCGCAGAGGGAGCTGCTCAGCCAGGCAGGAGAGGGATAAAAATAGAGCTCGCTGCGTGCGTGGTTCTCCTGCAGAGCAGGGCCCGCTCCTGCGGGATTCCCGCTCCCCGCACCGGCATCCCCGCACTGCAGCGGCTGCGATGGGCAGCGGGGTCAGCCCCGAGCACACGCAGGGCAGGCCGGGGAGCACCATGAACACAGGCAGGGTTAAACTGGACACCCCCCCCGCCCCCCAGGCTTTGCAGGGGGGACGCCCCTGCTCTGCACACCCCAGCTCCCAGCGCGACCTCCCCGGTGTTCCAGGGCAGGGAGGCCCCATTGGGGCCTGAGCCACCTCCGGGGGGGGGTTCTGATGGGGCTCTCCGGTAGCAAGGACCCTGCCGGAGTCACCCCGGCTCCTGCAGCGGCTCCGCTCCGCAGGCTCGGCCCCGGGGGCGGGCTCCGGTGCTCGGGACTACAGCTCCCGGCGTGCAGCGGCGGCGGGGAGGGGCGGGGAGCGGAGCGGAGCGGAGGGAGGGCCGGGCCGGGCGGCGGCGAGGAGCCCGCCGGGAGCGCAGCCGGGGCCGTGGGTGCGCGACGGAGACAGCCCCGGCCCCGCCGAGCCGAGCCGAACCGAGCCGAGCGGAGCCGAACCGAGCCGAGCCGAACGGAGCCGAGCCGAGCCGAGGTGAGTGCGGGCCGAGCGGCGGCGCCTCCCCGGTCAAACCCTCCCACCCCAACCCGGGGTAATGAGGCCGGTGCGGGGCCTCGTCCCCTGCCCCAGGCCCGGCGCTGGGAGCGGGGCCCGTGCCAAGGGGAAAACGCTCCATAAACAAGCGGCGGCTGAGGAGGGGAGCAGGGGGCACACCGGGACCTGTCCCGCGGTCCGTGTGGGGCGAGCGGGGTGCAGGAGCCCCCGGCCGAGACGCTCCCCACCCCCGTCATCATCCCCGTGTCCGGCAGCCAGGGCCCCGCAGCGCTCACTGCTCCCCCGCCAGCCCCAGGCCCCCTCGGCTCTCCCAGTGTGGAATTCCGACCCTGACTCCAGGCCCAAGCAGGGCACAAAGCGGCGCTGCCTCGGCCCGACCTCTCCCTCCAAGCCCAGGCGTGTTTGTGGGCAGCTTCCACGTACCTGATGCTCCGGTGCAGATGCTGAGGCCGCCTTGCAAAGGAGGGGTTTGAGTAGTTACCCACTTGGGAGGCTGGTGCAGGGATCCTGGCTCCTCAGCAGCTCCATGGTTCACAATGGCATGGGATCAGAATCACTTGGGTTGTGGGAAGATCTGATGAGCACCTGATCCCTCCTGCCCTCTGGCTGCTGTCCCAGATGAAGCTCCCGCCATGGGCTGATGGAGAACGGGGTGCCAGGCACTGGGGAAGAGCGATGCTGCTGGACAGACAGGGGCAGGAGCAGACGTGGAGCAGGAGCAGTGCCGTGGGGTGCTGGCTGCACTCAGCAGCAGCCGATGGGTCACAAAGGGAGCAGGAAGCTGCCGGTGTCGCTTTGTTCCCCCTTTCCTCAGAAGCGAGGAGATGCTGGCACACCAGACATGGAGCTGGCGGCCCTGAGGTTCATCCCGAGCCCTGGAACGAGGCTTTCCCTACAGATACATGGACAGGGAGTGGGAAGTCGGGAAGGATCGGGGCTCAGCTCTGCCATCACAGCCTAACCACAGCTGACTTTTCCCCTCCTTGGACAGACACCGTCCAACGTCAGCACAGCCCTGACCTTCACACCCTGCCTGGTGAAACATTAAAGCTGCTCTGTCCCCAGAAGCCCCGCAGCACTCGTGGGGAAGCAGAGCTCCGCAGCCGGCTGCTTCCTCCCACCACGGCGAGCTGCAGGTGAACAACTCCCGGGTGGAAAAGCAGACACCATGGGATGTGGGATGTGGGATGTGGGATGGGGGTAGGGAGCGCAGCGCCCTCAGCCAGGCTTTTGCAATCGGCAGAAGCCGGGTGTGCAATCCAAAGGGAGCAAAGAGCTCGGCCAAGGGCTGCAGATGCCACTCAGGAGGGAAAAGGCTGAGAGATGAAGTGGTTTTAAGGTGGGGAAGGGCTTGGAGAAGCACGTGGAATTATCCTCATTGTAGCACGGAACGTTTGACGTCATTGGGTCGCTCCTGCAAGACCAAACTGACCTCTTGTATGTTCTAATGCTTTACTCATTGCTACAAGCAAGGAAACGGAGGCACCAGGAGGAGAACGGGGTCCTCAGTGGCTGCTCCATCTGCCCCTCGGCCACCCGCTCGGTCCCCAGCCCAAGGAGGAAGCTGAAGGGTTCAGCTCTTGATGCAGTTGGATTTGGAAGCCTCCAGCGAGGTCACCATCACCTTCCCCATGCTCAGTCCACGCCTCAGCCAGGCAGTTTCTAGAGCTGAGCCCTTACCAGTATGGAGGAGAATGGCCAACAGCACTGCTGGGGATGCATTCCACAGGGATCGTTGCTCTGTTTGGGATTTGCTGCAACAACAAGACTTCTTGACTCGTGTCATGCTTCACTGCAACCCCTAGGTTTCCTTCTGAAAGCCCTCTGGAATGGCACCAGGTTAGGGATAGAGCTGCTTCGCCTGCTAGGACTCAAGTCTACCCCTTAAGTCCAGCTTCCAGACTAAGCTTCAGGCTTTCCTCTGGAATATCGAGGATATCCTTTGCCCTAGGGTACGGGCATGGGAGATGATTTACAGCAAGCACTCCCCAGACCTGCAGCCATAAGTGCCCTGGTTGTCACCTGGGCAGCAGAGGTAGGTGAGCATCTGCTCAGCTCACCTTGGCAGCCTGCAACCCAGAGCAGCAGCCACCTTGTGTGGGTGAAAGAGGTTTGGAAGTTCCAGCCAGCATCCCAGGGGCTGTGGAGCCAAGCACTCACTGCATGTCCCAGCCCCGGGCAGGGCCAGGGGAGAGAGCCAGCTCCTGACACACACCAGGCCCAGTGCTCCATAGGGAGCAGGCAGTTGGCCGTGCTGCTGTGTCAGAGCTGGCTCAGACTCGCCTCCTGAGACCCAGACTGAGCTGGAGAACAGCAACACCACCTCCCAGCTGCAGGAACCAAAGCAGCCCAACCACAAGGCCAGACATCAGGAAGCAGCCTCACCTTGGGGGCTGGCGAGGGATGGACTGCATTAAACTGCATTTCCCCAGGGGACAAAGATGATTTTACACAAGAACTTCCCTGATCTCAAAGATAACTCAGTTTTACAGATGTTCTAATTTGTGCTGCTTCCTGTGATCTCTGCAAAACAGAGCTCTCATCTTCTCAGAAACCCTGAAAGCTGACGGATACCTGCTGTGCTATCAGTGCAGCAACCCAAAACCCACCGATATCTGCACTGTCTCCAGGAGGATGGCACTGTCCTGGCATTGTGGCTGCCCCATCCCTGGCAGTGCTCAAGGCCAGGTTGGACACAGGGGCTTGGAGCAAGCTGCTCCAGTGGAAGGGGGTTGGAACTGGATGGGCTTTGAGGTCCCTTCCAACAGAGACCAGTCTGTGATGCAGAAAAACATCTGTGTTCCTCCTACGTGGCAGCTCTTTGCAGGTAGGGCAAGGGCCATCTCCTCTGCAGCTCTTGCTCATGAAATATCTTCCCAATGCACTTTTCCTCATTATCTCTAACTTTTTATGATCCTCAAGAAGAATCTTGTTCCTTCCCCGTGGGGGAATTAAGGTACTTCCCCAGAGCCCTGTTAACTGAGTTGAACTGATGGGCAGATGCGCTGCTGTAGAGCTGTCATGCCTTTATTCTGCAAACATGCTTCTTCCCAGTTTAAGATGTGCTGAATCCATAAACATGCAACAAGCTCCACGTGCTGCCATGATTAACACTGCAGTGGTGACTTCAGAAGAGCTTCAGGTATTCCTTTGAGTCTCCTCAGGCAATCCCAGGATTGAACCTTCCCATTTTGGTTCCAGGAAAACCTTTCAGCAGATCACGGACAGGCTTCCACACGTTATTCCCAAAACTGCTCCCAGATAACTTCCCCTCACAAATGGCAGCTCTAAAACTGAAAGTAATGAGGTGCAGAGAAGTGAACTTGTGATTTTTAGAGCAAACAACAGGTTCAAGGTTTGATGGAGGGCAAGAGGGTGCTCAGCTCTCAGTACTGACCCAACTCTGCTTTAGTTTCAGGAGTGCCTGTTGAACTCAAGAGCCAACATGAACGTGGGGACAGCGCACAGCGAGGTGAATCCCAACACCCGGGTCATGAACAGCCGGGGCATCTGGTTGTCCTACATCCTTGGAATTGGGCTGCTGCACGTCGTGCTCCTGAGCATCCCCTTCTTCAGTGTCCCCGTGGTTTGGACTCTTACCAACATCATTCACAACATGGTAAGGGAATGGTGTGGCTGGCTTGCCGTCCCCCAGGGCAGGGAGACATCATCCCTCAGCACCAGCTCTTCTTTTGGGAGCCATCTAGGGAGATTCCTGTTCAAACAATCCCATTCTGTTTCCAAAGATGCAGTGTAAGTTACTCAACCTCCACCCCTCAGACTGCAATCTTTGCCTCTAGGGCATAGATTTAAATCCAGCCTGGGTACTGATGAGACAGCAAAGATGTGGTGAGGCTGCTCAGAGGGGACACTGCAATAATTTGCCTGCAGGGTAAGTCCTTCAGCTGAGAGGCCACAGAAGCTGGCAGGACAGCCTTCACTTTGGTGGATACAACCTGAATTGGCCTTAGCAGAGTTAGGAAAACAAACTGAATACCCAAACTTTGTTCTGCTTAAAGATTAGTCCAGGTTCATCCCTTCTAAGGAGCAGGTACCCAGATGAATGGGTGTCAGTGCTGTGCTGGGGGCACAGAGGCACATTCCAGGGTGCAGGCCAGGAGCTACTTTACTGCCTCCACTGCACAAGCCTCTGCATGTCCTGCAGCTGAGGAGCAGCCCTTCAGCCTCAGGCACAGGGGACAAAAAACCTCAGAGATGCAGCAATTGATTTTGTATCCTTTATTCTAAATAATACCTCAGCCTGAGAATATTCCAGAGGCAAAAGTGACCCCCTTACCAGGGGTGATTTTCACATCTAGCAGAGAAGGAACCCACAAAACCAGTAACTAGAGCTGCTTGGAGCCCAGCTCACAAGCTGCCTGCTTTACATCCAGCTCCTTCCCCTTCTCTGGCAGCTTAAACAATGAGGTCATGGGAACAGAAAGGAGTTTAAAGGCCAGCAGTGGCTACTCTTCAAAGCCACGTGATGCAGCCAGACACTTGCTGTTTATCTGTGCCCTGGGTTCCACTCCAAGAGGTTCACTCGTAATCAGAGCAGGAACAGATCCTCACTGCCCACAGCTCCACCAGCACTGTTTTTAGACAGCCTCGGGCATTGCTGGTGCACGGCAGAGCCATTCCACACTAATCTCCTGATCCCAGAGACGGGAGCGCTGTAATCTTGCGGCCACCTTCTTGGCTTACGCCCAGGAGCTGAAGCAGAGGCCTCACGTGTGACAGCCGGCCCTGAGCTAACCCCGGCTGCTTTCCTTCCCCGCTCTCCCCACTTTCTTAGCCGCATTTTCCAGCGGGGAGGATGCATCCCTCTAGTGGCACAGCGCGCTGGTGCAAGCTCCCCCGGCCGTTCATGAAGCTGAGCGTTTCTGGTGGTGTGGAGGTCCCCTGCGTGCTTCACACTGCGTTTGTGTTTGCTACAGAGCATGTACATCTTTCTCCATACCGTGAAAGGAACTCCTTTTGAGACTCCGGACCAGGGCAAGGCTCGGCTGCTCACGCACTGGGAGCAGATGGACTATGGAGTGCAGTTCACAGCGTCACGCAAGTTCCTCACCATCATGCCCATCGTCCTGTGAGTACTTCATGTGCTGGCCTAGGAGACAAAACCACAAAGTGCTGTGACTCAGCTCTCCCCCTCTCTGTTCTCCTCCTTTCCAGGTATTTTCTAACCAGCTTTTACACAAAGTACGACCGGATCCACTTCGTCATCAACACCATCTCCCTCATGAGCGTCCTGATCCCCAAGCTGCCGCAGTTCCACGGAGTCCGGATCTTTGGGATCAACAAGTACTGAGTTGTGTGGCTGGAGCGAACGCAAGAGGAGCAGGGGGAGAGGGGGATTTTCCTTCTCTCTAGTTCCGTTTCTTCTTCCCCACGCAGACTGGGATGCAATTTCACAGCAGCTGTTTAACTGCAATATCCGATAGACATACACCGCATGCTGGATCCTCACGCCCAATAAACCTAAACCAGCTCCAGAGTAGAGTTTAGTGGAAGCAGGATGCATGGCACTGGATTTCTTACATTCCAGTGTCATAACTAGATGCAGGCTTCAAGGTACAACGAGGATAAATTCTAGTGGGATTTTAATCTATCCCAGACGTTGAAGGAAGAGGGATGAGGGGAAAAGCTTTTAGTGCTGGTACTATTGCTGTGGTAAATGCACTTTAATATATTTCCCTTTCTGAAGCTAAGTGCTTTAAGCAGTATGTGGGGGAAATTCAAAGGGACAGAGCCAAGCTTTCCCAATACCTGATTGTTTTGGGGTTTGAGTTCGATTTGGGGGCAGGGAAGTGGGAAGAGAATGGCAAATTCTTATTTTGCAATCTTTTACGCCACTGAGATAGGAAGCTCTTTAGTAAAGCCGGTAGAGGAAGGAGTGACCTGCAACCTGAGCAACTTCCTCTTTACTGTGGAACCCTTCGTGTGCTTCAGGGGACAGCTCAATAGAACCTACATCAGATTTGATATTTTCAGCTTGTACCAGAAGCTGATTAACAGCTCCCCAGCCCAAACTGCTGATTTTTAAGGGCACTCTGAGCACTCAGCCCAAGAGCTGCATGCAGGGCAGCGATGACTGACACCAAATGCACTGAGCAGCTCACACACAGCGACTGCACCAGTGTGGGAGAAGCTGCAGACTGACAGGTACAGGCCAAGCAAGATGGATGGATGATGCCTGCTTGCTGTAATCAGTGACTGCAATTTGGATTGTTTTCTCCTCAGCCCAGCTCTTGGGTGCTCAAGTCCGTGTCCATGTTACTGGGATCTGCCAGTTCTCCACTTAGCCATGGACTTGGCCCAATTCCTGACTCGAGGCAAGCAAGTGTTCCAGTTCTGGCTTACCTGGAATCTGTCACTCAGCTCCACACACGAGTCCTCATGTGGTCACTGGTGAGGAGACTGCAGGAGAGCAATACCGACCAGCACCAGCCTGACCTGGCCGACAGAAGGACACAATGGGTCCCTGGTAATAATTATTTAGTACAGGAACAAAATCAAGCCTTTTTCCCATTAAATTCCCACCTAAAGGATGCAGGTTTGCAGGTTTCAATCCCCTGGCTGAGAGAGCTTTCTCCTGTTCAAAGTCATTGTTTTTAATTTTGGGTTGTGTTGATGGAATGTGTGAAACCCTCATGCTTCCCCTGTAAAAGCCTCTCTTTTGTTGTCAGTGCTTCTCTCACACTTTGGACAGTGGTATAAACATTTAAATATGTTCTTTTTGTTTGTGCATTAGCTTTAGAGGTCGGAGTGGATATTGTTGAGTTGTTTGATGGTCTGACCATAGGACATGGGAACTTCAGGTTTGCATCTAAGATCTAGTACTATTCCAGGTAGATTTTTAGGCAAGCTGCTTTACTTCTATCTCAGACTTACTGCTGCAGAGAAGGGAAAAACATTTCATGTACCTCACAGAGGAATGCAGAAAGAATCATTACCTAATGTTGGATGAGTGGAAACGTTTGAAGTGGTAAGAAGTTTTCAAGAAGGTGGGAAGAGGAAAGAGTCTGGCTGGATACCCAAGTGCTGTTGTCCAGTTTGACACGTGCAATTTACTGGAGAGGGAGGGTGAAGCTTTTAACGACCACGACGCAAGGACTGCTGCTGTAGTTAAGGTACCATATGCCCTAAAGCCAATACTCTTTAAGCTACTAGACAATGACTTTTGGGAAAAAATACTGTTTTCAAAATAGAGACATTTCTGTCAGGCAAGTACCTCTGAAATGCCTGAGAGATCAGTAGCATCAACGCCCTCGGAGGTAGGGTGACTGTCCTCAGCTACAGCTGGGTCTGCAACACAGGCTGCATGTTGTTTTAACAGGGCTCAGTGTCTGCCCACAGCTCAGGCTGGTAAATCTCCAGAGAAAACAAAACTACTATATTTTGGTAGAAAACAAAAAGGAAACAACCTTTTTTTTTGCAACAGAAACAGTCCCTGTATCCTTAAAACCATTACTCCTGTATAGATGTGTGCTGATTATTTTTAAGTACATGCACATTACCCAAAATCAGAGGAGTTTTGGTATTTTTAGCCTAAGTGTGAACTGAAGGCAGGGCTCAGCTCTTCTCAGTGGACTTCAGCACTCGATGCAGTTTCCTTGAAAGCCTTGGCATTACAGCAGCTGAGGGTCTGAACTTGTCCCGTGTGCTGTTAACTGGAACATCTGATCCTAAACCAGGGTGGGATTAGAAACTCCTCCAAAAAGCAATTTTTAAAGCCTGAAGTTTAAAACTTCTTGTTGGGCAAAGCCTTAATTCTGATAGTGAGTTTTTCTGATTTACCTTGTTCACACGAAGGATTAAAATAGCACAGATGTGTTCCATGGCAAATGACATTCTTTACAACAGATGCCACAGAATAACTGAAATTAACTCAGACTCAAACAGTTAATCCAATCAAGGGAACATAGATGAAAACTGGATAAATAGGGAAAGTGAGAATGGAAGGTTTTATGGTAACAGTGGGGTATGTTAAGTAAGTATCTGCACAAGATTAATAATTGAATAGTTATACATCTGATAGTCTCTTCCTTAAGATCCCATCTTAAGGGTAGGTATGAGAATTAATCAAAACTAGAAGAGAAACCATAAGCGAATTGTAATTAAAACCACAGCCACAATTGCTACTTGTTAGGGGTACCTGAAGTGAAAGAGTTTTGTGCCAGTTGCATGGCTCTTTCATGTCGTATCACAGGAGCAAGTGGTGCCCTATTTCAGCTTCCGCTTGGATACCACCACTGTAATGGCCTGGAAGAACTGGACACAGTTCTGGGTCTCCTGGAACTGAAACCACTTTTAGTTTCTTTGTGTGCGTTAAATTCATGTAGAAGCATGTTCAGCACTCAAAGGCTGCTCTTGCACACGCACAAGAGTGGACTCAAAATACTAAAACTCTCAAGGGATAAATGATTCCTGAGGAAAGGAGATCAGGACAGTGTGGGCAGGAGGGAGGGTTTCCATACCTGCAGCCACCAGAGCAGTGATCCCAGGCTGAAGCCCAGCTTCTGCGTGGAGGACCAGAAGGTGAGCACAAGGACTGTCTGCTCATACAGACTGTAGAGCTTTCTTCAAGTACCTGTGTGAAGGAGACAATTGATTGTTACTGGTTTTAAATGGGATTTTGACCATGACAGATTTGCCTCTCAAACTTGTACTGGCTTCCTGCAGCGTAACCAGGGCAAACTTCAGCAGGCTCCATCCTGTGCCTGAGTAGCAGTTACTGGGTAAGCAGGTACTCCAGATGCTTTTCCTTTTCATTCTCCCATGAATGCCAAAGGAGAAAAGCCTCTGGAAAGCATCACTTGAACCATTCACAGGCACTGGCAGAAGAAGTCTCCCTGCCCCATCTTGTTCTGGGCAAAGCCTCTTCTAAGCCACTGTCAAGTCCATGCAGGTATTTACACAGAATGGCAGTTACTGCACCAGGGAAGTCAGAAAACAACTGAGTACTGACAGCCTGATGCTTCTGTCCTGCAATGCCTTTAACACACCCCATGGGATGGCCAACAGCCCAACCCTTACCAGGAAAAGGCCTTTAAAACAAAAAAGAGAAAAGCAAAGCTGAGATCTGGGGCTACTGAATTCCCAAGTACTTCTTTTTAGTCATGATTTCATTTTTGTTTTAATAGACACGCGGTTCTGGCCCTTGCTAAAGGGCCAGCAGCTGCTTACTACTGTCAACCCATTAACGTTTCTTCTTGTGACTGATACTGCTTTATCATTGCCTATAATCTCTTTTCAGCATGCAAGTGTTTGTGTGTCTGTAGCCTCCCTGGAACAGTTGGAGTTGAAGTAGTTGGGGTTTTAAGGGAACATTCTGACACTGTACAAAGTTGTAGGGGTTTTTTCCTCTTTTTGCTGTGGATACATGAGTCTCATGTAGAGAACTTTCTAAAATAAAGTGTGAATATTTTTATTACTCCTTTGTACAGTATTCTAAGAGAAACTAATAAAGTATTCCTGTAAAACCCTGGGTTTGGGTCCTTGCATTGTTACACAGAGAGGTTTTGCTTTTAAAGCAGCAGAGCAAATAAACACTTCATAGGATAGTTAGGGTTGGAAAGGACCTTAAGATCACCCAGTTCCAACCCCCTGCCATGGGCAGGGACACCTCACACTAAACCATGGCACCCAAGGCTTCGTCCAACCTGGCCTTGAACACTGCCAGGGATGGAGCATTCACAACTTCCTTGGGCAACCCATTCCAGTGCCTCACCACCATCACAGTAAAGAAATATCTTCCTTATATCCAATCTAAACTTCCCCTTTTTAAGTTTTAACCCCTTACCCCTTGTCCTGTCACTACAGTCCCTAATGAAGAGTCCCTCCCCAGGATCCCTATAGCCCCCTTCAGATACTGGAAGCTGCTCTGAGGTCTCCACGCAGCTTCTCTTCTCCAGGCTGAACAGCCCCAACTTTCTCAGCCTGGCTCCATACAGGAGCTGCTCCAGCCCCTGATCATCCTCGTGGCCTCCTCTGGACTTGTTCCAACAGCTCCATGTCCTTTTTATGTTGAGGACACCAGAACTGTACACAATACTCCAAGTGAGGTCTCAAGAGAGCAGAGTAGTGGGGCAATTCCATGGCAATTCATGGCCATTCCAATACATGATGGATTGAGCAACAATCGTAGAATCATAGAACAGTTAGGGTTGGAAAGGCCCTTGCAACCACACCTGTATGTCACACAAACCCCTCTGCTACCAACAAGCCCTAATGCATGACAAAATGTGTGCACATGTAAGTTATAATATCATCTATAAGTCAACATAAAAGTGCCTACAGCAACATCATGTTGTCTCCTTGTCAGCACCACACCTGATGAGCTACCACTCTCCCAGGCTAAAGTGAAACCCTCCTGATCTCGGGATGGTCTGCTCCTCATTCCAACGGGCAGAGTATGAATGAAAACCAGAACGATGCTGGAAACCCAGCCCTAGAGGAGTGTCTTATCTGTAGAAGAAGTTACCCCCAGCCACTGTAACCAATCAAACAGCTTGACCCAGTTCAGTTACCAGCTTTTACAGGAAGAATTGCACAAGCAACGAGTATTTCTGCCTCATTCAGCAGAAGTTTCCGAATCACTGAAGGAAAAGGCAGGGAGAGAGCAGGTCCCAGCCTGCTGCTTGAGAGACTGATCCGTTTTGGAAGCTCCGTGGTCCGCTCCGCAGCTTGCCCTCCCGTGAAGGAGAAGCCACTCACCCCACAAACAGGCAAGTATATTTTTAAGTGCTTTCGGTCCTGGTGAGGGGTAGAGCAAACTGTGAAGTGTTCTGGTTTCTTTTTTATCCCTGGTTGATGTCTCCCAAGGGAATGAGTCCTGTCAGAGCTACCTAAATGATCCCACATTCAGCACGAGATGATTTTCCATCCCTAGCTCCATCACATACAATACAAAGTTCTTCATCACCCCTTCTATGCACTAACTGAAGCAAAACTCAAACTCTGGATTAAAATCGCTGTTAGGAAACCAACAGTGATTCTCCTTCTGCCTTTGAAACAGCCAGTTCTCTCGGTGGGGGGGGACACGATACGACACAGGCAGAGCACCAGGGCCCATCCAAGGAGCTGTGCTGGGAGGATTGCTTTATATCTGGGGGGAGATTTGCCATTGAACAAGGTCTCCTCCTTCCCCACTCACACCACTTGTGGGTTTCATTTATACTTCTCCTACTTACAACACACTGTTCACCTCTCAGCACTTTCAGTTCTCCCAGTAAGACACAAATACAAGCTTTTTGCGCTGCTCTTATTTTGAAGCACTGCTCTTTCCTGACAAGCAACAAAATGCACAGGGGAAACAGCAAAAACCAGCAGGAAACTACTCAACCTTTTTCCTTTTAAACTTGCGTCAGGGCACCGAATTAAACCGATTCAAGCATTTAGGACTATCACAGGTCCTAGGTTAAGGTGCATGTTCAGTAATAAAAATGCTAATGGTGTGTACTGGTACATGTAGCAAAATAGCTTAACTGCAAGAGCAGTGAGAGACTTCAGTGCTGAAGATCAGTGCTCCCAAATGGCCTTTGCTCATCGGCAAAGGATATGGCGAGTCGAAATGAGATTCGTGCTCCTACCTCTTGTTATGGTTTAAACCCAGTCAGCCATAAATCATGCACTCTATCTCTCACCCCCCCTCCTTCTTGCCCTCCCCCTGCTCCCGGAGGGATGGGGAGGAGAATCAAAGGAATGCAACTCCCACAGGTTGAGATAAGAACAGTTTAGTAACTAAGGTATGACACAAATCACTGCTGCTACCACCAATAATAACAAGGGAAGAGAATACAACACCCTCACCACCCACCGACTGATAACTCGCCACACCCCGCCCGACCCAGCACAGACCAATACCTAGTCCAGCCCCACAGTGTACTAGCCCTTCCAGGTAACTCTCAGTTAACATCCTGGGCATGAGGTGCTGTGGTATGGAATACCTCTTTGGTCAGTTTGGGTCAGGTGTCCTGTCCCTGCTTCCTCCCAGCTTCCCCTCCTCCCTGGCAGAGCATGAGGCTCACAAAGTCCTTGGCCAATCTAAACATTTGAGCAGTAACTAAAAACATGGGTGCTATCAGCACCACCCCCAGGCTGAAAGTCAAAAACACAGCGCTGCACCAGCTACCAAGAAGGAGAACAAATGGCTACTACTGCTGAACCCAGGACACCTCTCCAAATGCTTTCCTATAAAACATCCAGTTTAAGCTGTGTCTTGGACTAACATGGGTTTTTGGGGTGCTTATCCATTCGGAGAAGGTGTTTCTAAAAAACCAACCTGTTTTGCTACATCCTTCTCCTTGTATTTCAAGTAATTTGGCTTAACGTGTCTTGCCTCTTCCTAAGGCACAAGTCTCTGTTGCTGTGGATCAAAAATTCATCCAGCTGCAACAGGATGTTTAAAAAAGTCGCCCAATCCATAGTGAAACAAATGGATCCAGATGGAGACCTGGTCCCAGTTCGCAGCTTGTTGGACCATGAACATTTCAGACCCCTGTGCCTAGTGAGAAGAAAGAAACAAACCGTGTTCCAGCGATCTCCCCGCTACAAACAGACATGGTACAGACTGGAGGACGTGCTGCTGCCTGGACAGGATGGTAAAAGCTCAGGTAAAGACCACATTTATCAATCTTAAGCTCACAGCTTCCACAGACAAAACATTTGGGGCTGAACTCCACCATGCTCCATCTTTCTTGTGCACAATTAGTTGTAATACGGAGTCTGTGTAATCATGCTTACGCAAATGCATGGAATGATTTCAGAGTCTCTCATTCCCAGTGGAGGTGAACAAGACTCAAAGCAATTTCTAATCAAAAGGAGTGGCACTGACAGAATTGATGGGAGTCTCACCGTTCCTGTTGACCCCATAAGAGCGGAACTGAAAGGAGCTGCATCCTCGGCCAACGAGTGGTCCGTCAAGCTGCAGAAGAAACACATACCACCACCAAAACTTGAGGCACTGAAAACAGAAAGGTAAGGCAGGCACAAAGGGCCATCCTCCTCTGCCCCACGCCAGGTCACACAATGGTTTTTCCAACAGCCAAACCCCAAGACCAGGCAGCATGCATCCTCCCTAAGCAGCCAGATTTCCAGAGGCGAGGAAAGAGAGGTGGTGAAGACTCCTCACCAAGCTTTGTAATGCTTACAGATCTCTCTGCCATTCAGAAAGCAGAACACCTCAAGATGGAGTCAAGGCCTCTCCTCTCATTGTTTGTGCCTGGAAAGGAGCAGTTAGATCATGACACATCATCCATCTGACCTGCCAGGCCACCACCTCACTGCCCCTCCGAAAAGAGGAAGCATTGAGGACAGCAAGAATCCCAAGCCTATTTTCTGCCACCTTTTTTCCCCCAGAAGCCACAAACACAGTGATACTTTCATGTGACACAAGCATACAGTCCCACAGGACTTTGTCCCAACTAAACCAGGACCTTTTTCTCTTTTAGGAAAATTAATACAAATCACGCCTTCATTCAACAACTACAGAAAACAGGGCAGAGTTTGTATGTGGTTCATGAGACCATAGAAACCCTGGAGGAGACCAGCTATCAGGAAACCTCTGAGGCAGGCGGCAACTTCATGGCCCAGTTTTACGTCAAGTTCTGTGCCAAGGTTGGCTTTCAGGCTCAGGATTCAGCCCTTCCCCACCCTCTGCACATCCTGAAGCCTGCTAACACATTTTTGTTTCACTAACCAGGGCACCAGAGGGAACAAACAAAGCATAACCATACCCAAAGGCTGCACCCTGGCCTTCAAGGCATTCCAGATGGCCATTTCAGATGCAAAGTGGGGTAAGTAACTTCCAAAAACTGCCAACTCCTCCATTTGGGAAACACCACAGAAGAGGAAAGATGTTTTCTGAAGCATTATTCAGACTCATAGTTGCCCTCAGCTGGTTTCAGGTATGAACACAATGTGAGTGACAGAAACCCCCTGGGAAAAAAGCTGTACCTAGAATACAAGTTAAAAGAGCTATCTGGGAAAGAGATGTAGCTTCAAGGGGGTGATAAGGAATGAGAAGGGGAAACCCCAGCTCCACATTCCAGGAACTGCAGAGCTCCCCCTGAGACACGACACAGAGCAGCACTAGTTTTGGTTTCTTTTCCTCTAAAAGGTCAGGCAGCAAACAGGGTGGCTTCCCCTTCACTGGGATGGGCAGAGAAAGAAAGGACTGAGCTCCATAAAGCCTGCAAGACTGGAGAGAGCACATCTGCCTTTCTGCCCCTGTGCTCCCCACATCTGCGTGGATCTGGTGGAGTATAAGCTCTCATATTGATTTCCTTGTGTTTTAACACACTCACTGCCTGATGAAAGGCACAGGACAGTCAGGAACGAGATTCAGGAATAATGAGTCCTAAATGAACAGGTGCACTAGAGAAGAGCACAACCTGACCTACAACCAGCATGTGGTATCTCAGACCTGGGACACCAACATCTTCCACCCTGGTAAAACAGGCACCTCAGCTTGAAGCCTTGCAGCAATGTCCTTTTCTTCCTGTTGCAGATCTTTGCTACTTACGAAGATCACAAACATTCAGCCTTCAATCTGATGGTAAGAAATGCATTTTACTCCTTTCCCTCGCACTGTTTCTCCCCCCTCTGGACAAGACTGGGTCTCTCCAACACAAGCCACCAGAATCAGTGTCTTTGCTGTAGTTTCGAGACATGACAACTCAAAGTTGTACACCACTTTAAAAGAAAGTATTTATAGAAGAGTTTCAAATTCTAAAAGTAAGGTGCCAGTGAACTTGCCTGGTTTGGAAGTGATATTTGGGCTCGTTCTGCTTTTCAGATGTCCTGGAAGGAACATTAGGAGCACTGGAGGCAGAAGTCAAAAGGAACTGTCACATTTTCTCCACGTTGTCTTCTCAGCTGTCCTTCATCTTATTAAAAGCCATCAAAGCTGTGATGGGAGACAGCAACCTCTTCCAAGAGCTGAGCCACAAAGTAAGCAAAGCTCCTCTTACTACCAGGATTTATAGACAGAGACATCCACCTCTTGTCACCTCTCCTGTACCACAACTACCAACCCAAAAAGCCTTCACTCAGTGCATGTCTGGTCTCCATCACCATACAGACAAAGAAGGTATTCAGGACAGAGTCAACTGCAGCAATGTGTCCTCTGTAGAGCCTACCAGGTTCACTTGAAGGTATCAAACCATTTAAATGTCCTATCCTGTCTTTAACTGCAGCCAGTGTGAATGCTAAAGCCCCAGTTACAGCCTCACAAATAGCTTAGCGAGGGGAAGACACATATTACATGACTGTTTACAAGCTCCTGACTCACAAGCCTCTTAAACCCTGCTGTTTCCTCCTATCTCCCCTAGGTGGAAGCAGTCCTTGATGAAGGTGACAAGGGCCAGCTGAAAACAGAAAGCGCAGCCTTAAATGACTTGCTGAGGCTATTGCAACAATCCTCAACAAACATTCTCCACCGCATGGCAGCAGCCATCACCTACACCCTTGATGCTTTAGAAGGTAAGGCTTGCTGGCCACTTGAACAGGGAAATCAATAGCACCAGAATACACCAAAAGCATTCCTCACCCTTCGCTTCTCCCCAGCTGGCTCCAGTTGGGGTGGGGTTTCAGCACAACCTGTTTTAATTCTGCAGAGCTCAGTGAGGATCAGCTCCTGCTGCTGCTCGAGTCCTTGGAAAACAAGATCGTGTCCCAACAGCTTAAGCTGGTGAGAGAACATCCATCTCATTGGGCCCAAATGAAGGGATTGGGGGGGGTGGGGGGTGGTGTTGTTTCAAGTAAAGCAACTTTGACATGATGACACAGGTAGCAGTATCACAATTTAGGGTAACACTGGGAAAAGGGAAGGAATAATTGCTTCAAATTTGGCAGGGATCAGCATACTTTAAGGAAAATCACCCCAAGACATGAAGGCCAAAGATTTCTACCCACTGTTTTGCTGATAATTAGCATTCAATGGGGCCCAGCTACCACCACTTGGCTGGAAATGGTGGTCAGGGATCCCTGGCTTCTTTGGCTCCTGATTTAAAGAAGAAAACAGCATAAAATCCACCATTTTGCCCAGGGAACTTTTGAATGCTCCATCCATAACGGTGTTCAAGGCCAGGTTGGACAGAGCCTCGGGTGCCATGGTTTAGTGGAAGGTGTCCCTGCCCATGGCAGGGGGGTTGGAACTGGGTGATCTTAAGGTCCTTTTTCCAACCCTAACTATTCTATGGCTCTACAATTTTAATTCCTTGGCCATAACCAATCCCCAAGAAGGGAGGAACTGACTACATAAGCACAATAATCTGTCGGGTTGAAAAGTCCCATATGAGCAGCACTTCACACATCCAAGAGATCATTTACCTAATGACTTCCACAGCTGGGATATCAAAATACTGATTTTGCCTTTTCTTTTGGTCCTTGCTATGAAGGTTGAGAGCATCTTGAAACAGAGAGAATATGGGAAGGGGTTCGGCACAGACCCCAGCTTGCTCTCCTTCTCCCGAGAGAGGGACCACCAACTAACCATCGCAATGATGGAGATGAGCGGGGTGAAGCTCCATGAGGACGGATCTGCTGCTTGCACAAAAGAAGCCTCCTTAGCCATAGGAGCCCTGTACGTGTCTCTGTATGTCCTCAATCTCCTGAGTAACCCCTGTTAGGTTACACAGCCCTCCCATGTGCGATGATTTAATCACTTCACAATGTATTGGGAAGTCTCTTAGCACAAGCCAGCTTCTTTCTACAAGTTTCATCCCTGCGTAGGTGAGGCTCTCGCACTGCTTTGAAATGAGTGGCAAAGGAAAAGAGCTGGGGCTGCCCCATCCCTGGCAGTGCTCAAGGCCAGGTTGGACACAGGGGCTTGGAGCAAGCTGCTGCAGTGGAAGGGGTCCCTGCCTGTGGCAGGGGTTGGAGCTGGATCAGCTTTAAGGTCCCTTCCAACCCAAACCACTCAAGAACTCTAAAAGCAAACCTAAGGCAAGAAAACTCCTTATGGAAGCCAGATCCCAAACCTGCTTTTCCTTTCCTTCCACATGAAGGCCAAATGCCAACTGCAAACCCTGCTAGCCCAAGTGACCACCCACCGCTTGGCTGAGCTTTACATGATCTTGGCTTTCCCCAGCAGCCCAAAGCACCACCGTGGGCCCCAGGAGCGGCCCAACAATCCCTGCCCAGTAACACCAGAGCTCAATGAGCTGCTAATGGGGAGCTCAGAGCAGGTTAAGGACGCAGGCCCCACTAGCAGTAGGCACAAGCCACGCTTCAGAACTGTATTACAAACGCTTTGATGGCCGCTTTACAAATAAAGCTCTTTACTGAACAACAGAGCGCCTTCAAAGGGCACTTTTTACCCTGAGGTAACGCCGCGCTGCTGCCCGCCCGGCTCCCCCCAGCTCCGAGGTCCCTCATCGAGGGGCACCGCCGCTTACCTGGGCGGCCACTGACGGCTCCGGGGGCACCAACTGCACGGGGGGGGGGCTGCCCATGGGGCAACGGGAACCCGAGCCCCGCTTCCCCGAGCCGCTGCAGAGGGAAGCGGCCGCGGCCATCCCCGCTCCCTCGCACCTCACCTCAGTGAAGGCGGGAGCAGCCGAGCGGCGGCGCGGGAATACCCGAGCGCGCTGCGGAAACACCCGAAAGCGTGACGGAAAGCCCCGAGCGGGAGCCACGGAAGGAGCCGAACGCTCTCCCGCTCGGCGCTCGGCTGCGCGGGCCTAGCTCTCAGAGCGGGGCGGTGCGGTGCGGCTGGCCGGGCCTGGCGGCTCCCGGCGTGCCCCGCGGTTGGTGCAGTGTCATGAAGCAGGAGGCCCCGTCCCGCCGCCGAGACAAGGCCAAGGCCCCCCCCGAGGGGCCGCCGCCCGCGCCCCCCGATGTGGAGATGCAGGAGGAGGCGGCGGCCGCCGACACGGGCGGGGAGCGGCAGCCGCAGCGGGAGCTCGATGCCGTCACGTTGGAGGGTGAGGGGGGGAAGGCAGGCGGAGGCTCCGGGGTATGGGGGGGGAGCACCGGGTCCGGGTAACGTGGGGCTGGGGGCGAGGGAAGGAGAAGGGTCCCTATGGGGAGCCTCAGTGAGGGAGCTGTGCGGGGCTGGGGAGGGGGGAGGTGGGAAAGGAGGGGAATGGGGGGGCTGTAGGGAGGCTGGGGGGGTCCTTGAGGAGGAGGAAGTAATGGGGGGGGGTCTCTGAGGAGGAGGAAGTAATGGGGGAGCCTTGAGGAGGAAGGATAATGGGGGAGTCCATGATGAGGAATGAGTAATGGGGGGGACCTTGAGGAGGAGGAGGAGTAATAAGAGGGTCCTTAAAGAGGAGAAAGGGTAATATGGGGGCCCTTGAGGAGGAGGAAGGGTAATGGGGGGGTCCTTGAGGAGGAGGAAGGGTAATGGGGGGGGCCCTTGAGGAGGAGGAAGGGTAATGGGGGGTCCTTGAGGAGGAGGAAGGGTAATGGGAGATGGTTGGGAGGAAGGGTAATGGGGGGGTCCTTGAGGAGGAGGAAGGGTAATGGGGGGTCCTTGAGGAGGAGGAAGGGTAATGGGGAGGTCCTTGAGGAGGAGGAAGGGTAATGGGGGGCCTTGAGGAGGAGGAAGGGTAATGGGGGGGTCCTTGAGGAGGAGGAAGGGTAATGGGGGGGTCCTTGAGGAGGAGGAAGGGTAATGGGGGGGGCCTTGAGGAGGAGGAAGGCTAATGGGGGGGGCCTTGAGGAGGAGAAAGGGTAATGGGGGGATCGTTGAGAAGGAGGAAGGGTAATGGGGGGGTCCTTGAGGAGGAGGAAGGGTAATGGGGGGGGCCTTGAGGAGGAGAAAGGGTAATGGGGGGATCGTTGAGAAGGAGGAAGGGTAATGGGGGGGTCCTTGAGGAGGAGGAAGGGTAATGGGGGGGGCCTTGAGGAGGAGAAAGGGTAATGGGGGGCTCCTTGATGAGGAGGGAGTAGTGTGAGGTGAGGAAGAGGGGGTGCTGGAAAGGGTGTCAGTGGGGAAAGGGAGCTTTGAGGCCCTTAAGAGGGAAAGGGAAGCTGTGTTTGAGGGGGGCACTGTTAGGAGGATGGGGTGGGGGGAGCTGCAGAAGAGCCACGGTGGGATGCAGAGGGAGGATGGAGAAGGTGGGGGGGGGCACTGGGACCACACAAGCCTGGTGCCCTGAGCAGACAGAGGGACCCGGCGCTGCCTTTGCTCCGGGTGAGGCTGTTCCCGGTGCTCCCGCAGACATCAAGGAGCACGTGAAGCAGCTGGAAAAGGCTGTGTCGGGCAAGGAGCCGCGCTACGTCCTGCGGGCTCTGCGCGCCCTGCCCTCCACCTCCCGCCGCCTCAACGCCAACGTGCTCCACAAAGCCATCCATGGGTTCTTCACCTCCAACAGCGCCGTGCGGGATTTCCTCCTCGGCTTCCTGGAGGAGGTAGGGGCAGAGGGGATGCCATTCCCTGCACTGAGGAACCTCTGCCTTGGGGGGGGGCACTGGGAGCTCAGGGATGCTGGGCTGGTTCCTGTCACCCTGTTGTCCCTGGGCTGTGGATGGGCCTCGCTGCAGGCAGAGGTGGCACAGGGTGGGGAGCAGGCATCCAGCAGTGTCTCTGCCCCCCTCAGTCCATGGACACGGAAGCTGAGCTGCAGTTTCGCCCACGCACGGGGAAGGCGGCCTCAGCCCCGCTCTTGCCAGAAGTGGAGACTTACCTGCAGCTGCTCCTGGTCATCTTCCTGATGAACAGCAAGCGATACCCAGAGGTGAGGTCCCCTGAGCTCGTTGTGTGGTGCTGCTGCACCAGGCAGGGTCTGGAGAACCCCAGGGACCTGCATGTCTGCGTTCCCCTTTGTTCAGCTGCGTCTGGAGGCAGCCCTGGGCTCAGCCTCGCAGCATCCCTGCTCTTCAGAGCATCACTTCCCCCACCTTGAGCTCTGTTCCCCTCCTGTAGGCTCAGAAGGTGTCTGATGACCTGATGCAAAAGATCAGCTCCCAGAACCGCCGGGCCCTTGATCTGGTGGTGGCGAAATGTTACTACTACCACTCCCGCATCTATGAGTTCCTGAACAAACTCGATGTGGTCAGGAGGTAGGCTGGGGCCTGTGTCCCAAAGAGCTGGGGCTGCTGCTTTCCTCCTCCCTGCCACGTTCCCTCCCTTCCCTGCAGCTTCCTGCACGCCCGGCTGCGGACGGCCACGCTGCGGCACGATGCCGACGGCCAGGCCACCCTCCTGAACCTGCTGCTGAGGAACTATCTCCACTACAACCTCTATGACCAGGCCGAGAAGCTCGTCTCCAAGTCCGTGTTTCCTGAGCAGGCCAACAACAACGAGTGGGCTCGGTACCTCTATTACACAGGTGAGACAGAGGGTCCTGCGCTTGGGCTCTGCCCAAGATCGAGGGCTCTGCATCTGCACGGAACGCATTGGAACAGCTGGAGATGGGGTTTCCAGGCAGGATTTGATCCAGTGGATCCAGTTGGATTAGCTTTTCCAAGCCCCTTGTGGCCTGTCTCAACGCAGGGCGCATCAAGGCCATCCAGCTGGAGTACTCGGAGGCACGGAGGACCATGACGAACGCCCTGCGGAAGGCCCCGCAGCACACGGCCGTCGGCTTCAAGCAGACAGTGAGAAGGGATGGGAAGCTCGAGGGGTTCAGATCCTCCTGGATCCTCAGGGAAGCTGTGGCTTACGTGGTCTCTTTCTGCTCCAGGTGCACAAGCTGCTCATTGTGGTGGAGCTGCTGCTGGGGGAGATCCCGGACAGGCTCCAGTTCAGACAACCCTCCCTCAAGCGCTCGCTCATGCCCTACTTCCTCCTGACTCAGGGTACAGCAGGCAGCTCCCTGAGCCATGTCCCAGGCTCTGGGGGAGATGAAGCCTTGGGAAGGGGAGCAGCGGGGGGCTTGCTCCCTCTCCCCTCAAGGGGATTCAGCTGCAGGCTCCTCTTGGAGGAGGCAGCTCTCAGAGGACAGGAGCTGCCCTCCTCGCTTTCCCCATTCTCCCTCCCTGACGAGCACCTTCTCTCCTCCAGCCGTCAGGACTGGGAACCTGGCCAAGTTCAACCAAGTCCTTGATCAGTTTGGGGACAAGTTCCAGGCCGATGGCACCTACACCCTGATCATTCGTCTGAGGCACAACGTCATCAAGACGGGTAGGAGGCTGCAGGGATGGTGCTTGGGGACCCATGGGCTGCCTGGCCCAGGGGACTGCACTCCTGTCCCTCCTCGCAGGTGTCCGGATGATCAGCTTGTCCTACTCTCGCATCTCCCTGGCTGACATCGCCCAGAAGCTGCAGCTGGACAGTTCAGAGGATGCAGAGTTCATTGTTGCCAAGGTACCTGCATCAAGTCCTGTCCCTGTGTGTCCAGGGCTGCCCACAGCCCCCGGTTCTGGCAGCAGGCTCCCTCCCTGGGGCAGCCACTGGTTATAGGTTGAGGCCCCTCCAAGGGGGATGCTGGGGACATGCAGGGCACCACATCCCCTCTCTGTGTGCTGCAGCCTGAGCTCACCGCTGCTCTCACAGCAGCCAGCTCCTGCCTTCCCCCTAAAGCTCAGCCCTGGAAGGCAGTGGGTGCCCTGACCTGCGCTCTGGCTTGCAGGCCATCCGGGACGGCGTGATCGAGGCCAGCATTAACCATGAGAAGAGCTACGTCCAGTCCAAGGAGATGATCGACATCTACTCCACGCGGGAGCCCCAGTTGGCTTTCCACCAGCGCATCTCTTTCTGCCTCGACATCCACAACATGTCTGTCAAGGTGCGAGGGGCTGCAGGGCCTGGCCGAGGGGACAGCGGCGTCACTCGAGGAGCTCCTCCTCTTGGGATCATAGAAGAGTTTGGGTTGGAAGGGGCCTTAAAGCTCCTCCAGTCCCAACCCCTACCACGGGCAGGGACCCCTTCCACTGGAGCAGCTTGCTCCAAGCCCCTGTGTCCAACCTGGCCTTGAGCACTGCCAGGGATGGGGCAGCCACAGCTTCTCTGGGCACCCTGTGCCAGCGCCTCAACACCCTCATAGGGAAGAGCTTCTTCCTTATCCCCAACCTGAACATCCCCTGTTTCAGTTTGACCCCATCACCCCTTGTCCTGTCGCTCCAGTCCCCAATGAACTCCCTTCCTTGTTTTCCAGGCCATGAGGTTCCCACCCAAATCCTACAACAAAGACTTGGAATCTGCAGAGGTGAGGTCTCTTTGGGCCGGGACGGGGGGGTGGTTCCCCTACAACCACCGAGCCTGCAGCACGGACGCAGCTCCTGGCCCTGGCCCCCCACCAACCTTTTCCCTTGGCCTTCGCCTTGCAGGAGCGCCGGGAGCGCGAGCAGCAGGACCTGGAGTTCGCAAAGGAGATGGCAGAGGACGACGATGACGGCTTCCCATGAGCCTCTGCCTGCCTCTACTTTTTTAGCTGTCCCTAGGGCAGGCGCTGCCTGAGCGGCGCTTCCCCCGCGCGGCCCCGGCCCCTTTCTTTTATGGATACCTGCATGTCTGTCCGGTGGGGGGGAATCCCTGGCCATGCAGCCTCTTCCCGCAGCGGGATCCCCCTTCCCCAATCACCCAGCATTCTTTTAAGGTCTCCTGTGGGCACGGGGCTTGCACTGAGGAGCCCCTGAACTTGGGGCCTCCCGGGGCCGCAGAGCCGGGGCGGGTGCGGGGAGCGCGGCACCGCCGGTGCCCGTGGCTCTCGCAGCGATGATGGGGTCAAACTTTGTTAAGCTTCAATTATGACTTTTAAAATAAAAGTGGGAAAAACACCATTGGCACAGAGGGCTGAGCCCCCCCCCATCCTGCTGGGAAGGACACAGGGGGGTCAGGCTGGATCCTTGGGCCTCACAGACCCCAGTGCTGGGGAGCGATGGGAGCTGCAGCTGCACCAAGTGGGTCCCCCCCACCATCGGGGCTCTTCCATGAGTGTCCCAGTGTGTCCATGCCTGGCCATGGGCTGAGGATTAAGCATGGGGCTGTCCCTGGTGTAAGTCCACCCATGGGGCAGAGCAGGGAAGGTGAGAGCCAGATCCAGCACTGAGAACACGGGGGACACCCTGAAACCATTCACTTATGGATGCTGGGCAGGGCCTGATGGTGCCCGGGTCACAGGAAGGGTGACCACGAGGCAGAACCGCAGCGGGGCGGATGCTGGGGACAGTCCCCAGGGCTGGACAGCTCCGGTCCCAGGGGGTTTTGTGCTGCCCTCGTGCCCCAGCACCCACCCACAGGGTTTCGGCTCTGGTCACCACTTCCTTCCTTCCTTCCCTGGAAAGCTGACAGGGACTTTGGGCCCCACCAAGCACTGATTCACGTCCCCCCCACCCCGATTCCTGAAAACACCGACCTGCTGAGATGTCAGCTCCGCTCCGGAGTGACCCCATGGGCACAATGCGCTAAACCCCCTCCATGGGCACCGACTCCAGGAGGGCCATGGTTGGCAGTGGCTCTGGGGAGGGCACATGCAGAGTTTGGGGGTGTCCACCCTATAAACAGGCTCTGTTACCAGGGGTCCTTTCACACAACCTGAGGGCAGGACAGGTAGTGCCAGGTCTAGGAAGGGAAGTCATCAGTAGGTTTAACACCAGCCTCGTGCCAGGGCCTGGGTGATGCTCACAGATTGACTGCAACCACCAATGGGGGGTTCCTTTCCCCTGCTGGAGTTGGGAGCAGCTCCCAGAGCCTGGTGCTGGCTCTGGGGCCCATCCCTGTGGTCCCTGTCCCCATCCCCATGGCCTGCAGGAGGGCAGTGATGGGACCCAGGCTGGGTGCAGAGCTCAGCACTGCGCTGGTGTCACCCTGCCCGGATCCCTGCATCCCACACCCTGACCCGTGCCGGGCAGGAGCCGTTCCAGCTGGCACCAACCCAACAAATCATCCTGGAAGCACTTGCGGGAAGCAGCAGGAGCCAAATCCCCCCGGTCAGCGCTGTGGGGACACAATGGGGTGGAAGCAGCCGGCCCCATGCCCTGGCTGCCCTGGGCAATGCTTCCCCGAAGGTACTGATCGGGACAGCCCCAGCCAGGGGGGGGTCAGGCCCTTTGTGCTCATGGATGGGGATGCTGAGCACAACCCAGCCAGGCAGGATCCAGCACCACGGCCCTGGGCGAGTGCCTGGATGGGTTCTCACCTTGCCCACCTCCAACTGCTCCCAGCACCGGGAAGGTCACACCGTTGTTACCCGCCCCGACACCACGGTGAGGGGCTCGTGCAGGGGAGGTGTCCACATGGGTTGGGAATGGCGCTGATCCCACAGGAACACCGGCTGTGAAAAGCCACCGTCCCCTCTCCCGGTCACCTGTGAGTGACCCTGTGGTGCTGGGCCATGGGTGGCGAGGTGAGCACCGGGTTAATGTGTCACCGAGGCACCGGCCCCGCACCGGGCACCCACCGCGGTGCCAGGGCTCCACCGGGTGCTGGGTGCCGCTGTGCTGAGGGGCACCCGCTGCCCACCGGGAAAGCCCCGGGCCGGGAGGGGTGGGCAGCAGCGAGCACCCGTGCCCGGATTTGCATGGTGGTGATTAAGGCAATGAAGCAACCGGAGCTGTTGCCACATCGGTGTGAATCCCCGGGGCCGCTATAAATGCCCTGATCAATGAATGCCGGGGCAGGAGCTGCACCGGCCGGGCCACGCTCACACGCAGGAGGAGACACCGAGCTGGGCACCATGTGCGCTGTCACCCGTGAGTACCGCAGCCCCACAGCCCAGCGCTCCCACTGCTCCCAGCGCTCCCTGTGCTCCCACTGCTCCCACTGCTTCCTGTGCTCCCAGTGCTCCCTGTGCTCCCTGTGCTCCCACTGCTCCCAGTGCTCCCGGTGCTCCCTGTGCTCCCGGTGCTCCCGCTGCTCCCTGTGCTCCCGGTGCTCTCACTGCTCCCACTGCTCCCAGTGCTCCCACTGCTCCCTGTGCTCCCACTGCTCCCAGTGCTCCCACTGCTCCCTGTCCTCCCACTGCTCCCACTGCTCTCACTGCTCCCACTGCTCCCAGTGCTCCCACTGCTCCCGCTGCTCCCTGTGCTCCCGGTGCTCTCACTGCTCCCACTGCTCCCAGTGCTCCCACTGCTCCCACTGCTCCTGGTGCTCCCACTGCTCCCAGTGCTCTCACTGCTCTCACTACTCCCAGTGCTCCCAGTGCTCTCACTACTCCCAGTGCTCCCAATGTTCCCATTGCTCCCTGCGCTCCCATTGCTCCCACTGCTAAAACTGCTCCCACTGCTCCCAGAGCTTTCTGCGCTCTCACTGCTAAAACTGCATCCACTGCTCCCACTGCTAAAACTGCTCTCATTGTTGCCACTGCAACCACTGCTCCCATTGCTCCCACTGCTCCCAGTGCTCCCACTTGTAAAACTGATCCCACTGGACCCATTGCTCCCAGTGCTCCCATTGCTTCCACTGTTCCAACTGCTCCCACTGCTAAAACTGCTCCCACTGCACCCACTGCTCCCATTGCTCTGTGCTCCCCCTGCTCCCATTGCTCCCACTGTTCCAACTGTTCCCACTGCTAAAACTGCTCCCACTGCTCCCATTGCTCCCACTGCTCCTAGTGCTCCCACTTCTAAAACTGCTCCCACTGGACCCACTGCTCCCAGTGCTCCCATTGCTCCCACTGTTCCAACTGCTCCCACTGCTAAAACTGCTCCCACTGCACCCATCATTCCCCATGCACCCATCACTCCCACCGCACCCACTTTTCCCACAGCTCCCAGAGCCCCCACTAAACCCATTCTACCTGTAGCACCCGCTGCACCCACACACCCCACACCTGCACCCGATGGCCGCAGCACCGTGGCACCGGTGCCACACCGGCAGCGCCTGCTCCATCTCCCCCATTCCCCGGGGTCCCTTCCCCAGCGCTGGGGCCGTGGCACTGGGGGTGCTGAGCCGCTGTTCCCGCAGGGGTGCTGGCACTGCTGCTGTGGGCGCCGTGGCCGGCGCTGCTCGGGGCGCCGCTGGCCGAGCTCTCGGGGGACCAGGGGTTCCTCCTCTTCCTCAGCAACAACCTGGAATTCACCCGCAAGATCAAGGGGGACGTGGCCGCGCTGCAGCTCGCTGTGGTGAGTGCCGGGCACCGCGCTGGGGTGCCAGCGGTGGCCGTGCCCCCCCAACCCATCCTTATTGACCCCTCGCTGCTCAGGGGTCCCGCAGGCCATGCATGGGGCTGCTGCTCCCTTAGGGACCACCCCCCCAAGGGAACAAACCAGAGGGGCAGCCCCATCTCCACCACACTGGGCACCAGGTCTACCCCATCGCACAGCCCAGGGATGGGAGCTGGGGGTGATGGGGTCCTTCAGCCACCCTCATACATCCGCCCTTGGTTGCAGTGCGACACCTTCCAGCTGTGCAGGGAGGAAGAGCTGCTGCTGCTGCGGCAGGACCTGAGCATCACACAGGCACCCATGGAGCGCTGCCACGGCCGCGGCTTCCAGGCGGTGAGTGCCAGAGCCCACCCGTGCCATGAGCTGGCTGCGGTGGCCGTGCCGAGCTGACCATGCCATGCACCCTGCAGGAAGCCTGCTTCAGCCAGATCCGAGAGGGGCTCCGCACCTACCAAAGCTCCCTCGATGCTGTCCTGGAGCTGCTGCCCGGGCAGGCTGCGCTGGTGGAGAGCCTGCAGCTGGATGCTGCCAACCTGTCCTCCAACATCCAGCATCAGGTGAGGGGAGCTGGGGGGCAGGATGGGCACAGTGAGGACACCACATCCTGGGCTGCACCCCTGGAGTGTGAGCAGCTCAGGGAGGGGATCCTGCCCCTCTGCTGCACTCTAGAGAGACCCCCCTGCAGCCCTGATCCAGCTCTGGGGCAGCAGCACAAGAGGGATGTGGAGCTGTTGGATGGGGCCAGAGGAGGCCATGGGGATGCTGCGAGGGCTGGAGCAGCTCTGCTCTGGAGCCAGGCTGAGAGAGCTGGGCTGGGGCAGCCTGGAGAAGAGAAGGCTCCTGAAGGGGAGACCTTAGAGCAGCTCCAGTGCCTAAAGGGGCTGCAGGAAACCTGGAGAGGGGCTTGGGACAAGGGCCTGTAGGGACAGGCCAAGGGGAATGGCTTGAACCTGCCCGAGGGGAGACTGAGCTGAGCTCTTAGGCAGAAGCTCTTCCCTGTGAGGGTGCTGAGGCGCTGGCACAGGGTGCCCAGAGAAGCTGTGGCTGCCCCATCCCTGGCAGTGCTCAAGGCCAGGTTGGACACAGGGGCTTGGAGCAAGCTGCTCCAGTGGAAGGGGTCCCTGCCCATGGCAGGGGTTGGGACTGGGTGAGCTTTGAGCTCCCTTCAACCCAACCACTCTGTGCCTCCATGGGGCTCTGCTGCCACGCTCCCAGTGCCCGGAGCTGATGCCTCTGCCTCTGCCCAGTTACAGATGGAAGACCTGGACCTGGCCACAGTGACGTACCCCACGGAGACCCGGGGTCCCCTGCCCGCCTTCTCCTCCCGTTTCCACCACCAGGTCGGCACCTTCTTCATCCTGGCCGATTTCCAGCGGTTCCTGGAGGCCACGTACCGGGCGCTGCGGCACCTGGCGCACCTCTAACCCCGGTCCCGCACCGCTTCTCCCCGTTTATTTATGTCCCTTCCCGGGAGCTCCCGGCTTTCCCTCCTATTTAATATTTATGGCCAGTTAAGCTCCCTCCGGACGGGGATGCTGCCCGGCACCGGCCCCGCGCTGCCCCCGCACACGGACCCGTGCGCAGCATCGCCCTTGTTTAATATTTAAACAAAAGTGTATCTCTGCTACGAGTTACTGGGCTGAGCCCCCCCCCCCAAGGGCATCCCCAAGGGCTCAGCGCGCTGCATCCCACAGGGAAACCCGCTTCATCCATGGATGAAGAAGCTTTGGAGCAGCATTTCCCTGCCTGGGCTGCAGGGACAGACCTGACCCGTGTCACTTGTTGGCATAGTGACATTGATATTTATTAGTCCTTAGGGACGAGGGAGGGGAGGAGGGAGGTGCCGTAGGGATGCAGCAGCTTCCCACGAGGAGGTTTTTCCACCGCCCGTCCCCATTCCCTGCTAAACTCAGTGTATTTATTGCAGTTTAAGTTATTCTCATCCATTTCCCAGTCTCCCGGTTCCCGGAGCTGTATTGGATGGTTCCCAGCCCATCCCGCTGTGTTTTGTACTGTATTTATTGCTGCCTGAGCCCCACAGACACATTCCTGCTCGGTTTTATATGCAATATCAATGGAAATAAACTATTTTTGCTCCAGAGCCCCGTTCTCTGCCTGTGCTGCCTGCGGGAGGGGGGGTGATGATGTGCGGCCGCGGGGATACGGGGGCAGGCACAAGGGAAGAGCATCCTTCGGGCCCGGTCCGTGGCTGCTGGCATTGCCCGGCTTCCAACGCGGGGGGGGACCGGGTCCCCGGGGGGGGGGGGGACCGGATGCGGCTGCCGCGGGGGTGGCGGCTTCAAGAGCCGGTTCCTAGAAAGCACCGGAGCTGAGCGGCGGCAGCACCGAGCGGGGGCACCGGCACCGGCACCGGCACCGCAGAGCATCCCTGCGCTGTGCCGGGAGGGTGCAGCAGCGCTCAGGGCTCCGTGCCCTGCGCTTGGTGGCAGCGGGGACGCTGCGGTCCCTCTTTTGCTGCTGCCACGAAGTGAATCTGTCCCCGAGCTGCCCCGGGATGTGCCTGGAGCCCTCCTGGCGTTGCCACAACGGGATGGAACTTCCAGAACTGAGAAACGCCAAGAGGATGAAAAGCAAAGCAAAGCCAAGCCAAGGAAACCTGGGCATCCCCCCTGGGCTGTCCCTGTGCTCCCAGCCTTGCACCAACCCCGTTTCCTCCCACCAGTCCCATGCTCACGTCCCATGACCGCTGGCATCCCCGCACCACACTCAGCCTGGCCCCAGTGGGTGCCTGTTCCTGCCCTCCCCCGGTGTTCCCAGCCCTGGGAATGCCCAAGCACGGTGCCCCCAATGGAAGCCCATTGCCATCGCGCTGCTGTGGTGCCTCTCAGGAGAGCATCCAGGGAGAGCCACAGCTCCTTCCTGCCTGCACCGGCTTATCAGGGCTTACAGGAAACCCCTTGTCCCGCTCCAGCCCCTTCCTGGAAGGTGAAGAGCAGGAGCCAGCGCCAGGCATGGGGCTGCTGCCGGCAAATATTGACAGAGCTGGGAAGGCCGAGGGCCAGGTCCTGCTCTTTGCTCCGAGCTAACGGTAAAGACCCAGCCCCAGGCAGAGGTGCCAGCTCCATGCAGGACTCAACCCAAGTCCGGCCCCGCACGGCTCCTCCATTGCCTGCAGCGGGGTCTGTCCCTGCAGCAATGCCTGGGATCAGCCAGGACCTGAGCTCATCCCATTGTCAGGCAGGTCCCCATTCACCATCCAGCTGCCTGCTCCCTGCAGCATTGACCCAAAGCCCCTGGCACTGCACCGGAGCCTCCCTGTGCTGCCTCCTCTGGCATCACCAAAGCACCCGCTTTGGAGCCCCCAAAACAGAGTGAACCCTGCTATTGCCAATGGGGGTTGGATGCAGAGCCCAGCCCTGGGGATGGTGCAGGGAGCGGGCTCAAGCCGAGGCATCCCAAGCACCGCTTCCCCCTTTGGCATGAGTCAAAGAGAGCACACACATGGAAGGAGCGGGGACGAAGCCGTCCCGGCCCTGCCACCCCCTCAGGGTGAGGGATTTGTGACAGTTTGATGTGGATTCACACCCAAGCAGCTGACCCGTGCTGGGACAGCCCCACTGAGGAGCCTCTCCCTGTGCAGCACTGGTGAGGCCTCGGTTACTCACCGGCTGCTGGGGACGTGCTGTGAACTCACGCTCACGTGGAGGAACTCCCAACGGGAACCTGCTTGCAGCTTCCAGCGAGCCGGGAAGCAGGGGAGCATCTTTGCTGCAATGAGGCCAGCATCACCCATGCCATGGGCATCTCCATCCCCTGCCCAGTCCAGGTCCTGGTGACTTCCTCTCCATCATCCCCACCACCGAGCTCAGGGGTTTGGGCAATGCCCAGCACCAGCTTTCTGTCCTGGCTCCTCTCTGTGAGGTGAGAGCAGCGTGCAGATGGAGTTATGGGTGGCCAAGGCCACTGTCACCCCCCTGCAGAGGTGATGAACTTGGGGTGCAGTGGCTGCTATAGTGGGAAACCATTATACTGCAGTGCTGGAGCTAGCAAATTGGGACTGAGCAGCAAATCTCTTTGGGAGCCTGTGCCAGGGCATTGCCCATCCTCCCCGCCCCATAGCCGATGCGATCATCCTAAAGCATGAAACCTCCCCCTGAGCTCAGCCTTACTGGGCCAGCCCAGCAAGGACCCGATGCCAGCACACAGGAAAGGTGCCTGCTCCCAGCGGTGGATGTGGTGTTACTGCTGCAGGGCTGGGACACCTCAAGGCAGGAGCCTCCCTGTTGCTGATCCCCACAGCAAGGTTACAGGTGGAAAATCAACCCCAGGCTGGCCAGAGAGGGACTGGGGGAAGAGATGAGGGGGAGCAGATGAGGGGCCAGGGGTGCTCTGTCAGCTGCCAACACACACAAGGGGCCAGTGCACACCAGCAGCTCTGCCCTGCTCAGCTCTGCCCTGTCCCCATCAGTGCTGCAGTCAAACCGCAGCAAATCTCCTCCCCTGTTTTCCCTGAGGACAAGAGCCCAGGTCTGGCTCGATGGGGAGAGGCCAGAGGGAGGAAAGCCATGGAAAACCCTGGGTGGGAGCTGCTCTTTGCATCCCGCAGCACAGCCGCAGCACCTATAACCACAAGGCCCACCACTGGTGGGCACCACACCAGCGTGGACCGGGCTGGAGACCAGGATGAGCTCTGCAGGGCTGGTTCTGCCCAAGGCATGATGTGGGACATGTTTGGGGTTCTCCTTGTCCTCTTCCTTCCCCAAACCTCAGGGATCCAAGCCAGTGTATTTGGTGTTCTATGGCACAGAGGCATCTTCCTCGCATCCCCAAAACGAGTGCTGCTCTCCCAGCAGGGCCAACCACACAGCTCTGATCTACCCAGAGGCACCAGCCAGCCTGGAAACCCCCAGTGAGTTTGCTCCTGGACCAGATTAATGCCTTCAGCAAGCACAGGAGAGTGGTGAAGGGGGTGGAGTGGGGAAAGGAAAGAAGAAACATGCTGGAAAAATACCCTGGAGCAGCATCCAACCATTTATTCAAGCAAGACCAGGAAAAGGAGAGAACCTGAGGGGGTTTAAAACCATCCCTGGGCTGGGCAGTGGATTCTGAATGCAGCTGGATAGAGAAATGTGGCTTTGAGGGATGAAGCTGGGCATGGAGACGCCTGCGGATGGTGAGGCCACAGACACAGAGCAGCAGCCTGACGTGATGGGGAGCAGAGATGTCTGCAGGACACGGAGCAGGCTTTCCTCTGGACAAAACCTGAACCCTCCTGGAGCCTCTCTGCAAATGGCATTTGCTGGGAAGGAAGATTCCCACCTATCCCCAAGTGAAACACCAGGAAGGAGCCTCAGCAGCAGGGGAACACGCAGCGGTGCAGGGCGAGCTGCTCCACGAGTGGGCTGTGATGAGAAGCCCCAGCTCTTCTCCAGCAGCACATAAAGCAGCAGAGCAGAGAGAGGAGCAGCCACGGAGCTGCTGAGCTCTGACAGGACAGCACAAGCAATTACAGCCAAGCGGTGCTGACAGCACCATTGATCCTGGTGACAAATGCACCATGGGTCATGTTTTTACTCTCCTTGCAGAGGAGCACGGGTGAGATGTGATGGGGCAGCTCCCCAAGCAGGCAGGAGGGCAGCACCAGGGTACTGGGGTGAGGCAAATGATCCACTGTGGAGCTGCAATAAACACAAGAGGGACAAGGACCTCCTTGAGCGAGTCCAGAGGAGGCCATGGAGATGCTGTGAGGGCTGGAGCAGCTCTGCTCTGGAGCCAGGCTGAGAGAGCTGGGCTGGGGCAGCCTGGAGAAGAGAAGGCTCCTGAAGGGGAGACCTTAGAGCAGCTCCAGTGCCTAAAGGGGCTGCAGGAAACCTGGAGAGGGGCTTGGGACAAGGGCCTGTAGGGACAGGCCAAGGGGAATGGCTTGAACCTGCCCGAGGGGAGACTGAGCTGAGCTCTTAGGCAGAAGCTCTTCCCTGTGAGGGTGCTGAGGCGCTGGCACAGGGTGCCCAGAGAAGCTGTGGCTGCCCCATCCCTGGCACTGCTCAAGGCCAGGTTGGACACAGGGGCTTGGAGCAAGCTGCGCCAGTGGAAGGGGTCCCTGCCTGTGGCAGGGGTTGGAGCTGGAGGAGCTTTGAGCTCCCTTCCAACCCAAACCAGGCTGGGATTCTGTGATTTCTTACCACTTTTAACACCGCAAACTGATGGCACAAGGCAGGTTTGTGAGCACATCTGAAAGCAGACGCTGGAAGCCACCCCTTCCGAAGGGGACGGACACGTTTTCCCAGGTCACCTCCACATTGGGATGCTGCAGGTGTCAGATGAGAGAAACTAAATCCTCCCAGACCCTGAGTATTCAGCCGGTGTCACCCTGCTTCATAAATCAGAGCTGCCAACTCCCAGCTTGCTGCTAATGAGTTCAGCCCAACCAGCACCACTTCACCCCACGCCAGGATAAAGGCACTGAGAAAACTTCTCCTTGATTTATGAGCAAAGCCATCGTGACCTG